GCACCACGATGTACAACGTCCACAAGCAGAACTTCTTCGGAATTTTTTAAAAGATTTTCTATTATAAAACCAATAAAAGTACCTGAATTTGACTGCAATTAAGAGAAGCAACTTTAGCCATTTCTGTTCCATCACTTCCCAAATCAAAAACTTGTACTGATCCATTCTCAGTAAGACCATACAAAATGTGGCGAGTATCATCTACACATAATTTGGCAATTTTTTCTAAACAATAGAGAATCATCAACATTAGATTACCATAAAGGATGTAGATTAGTTCCAAATGAAATACAAAAAAATAAAAAAAATTTCGAATCTTAAGCGATTGTATTCTCTGTTCCGTTCTATTATTTTCAAGCTATTTCTGGAATATTTTCAGAATTCCTATAAACAACGAATTATGTTCATTCTTTTTTAAATTTAAAAAAAAATAAAAAGAACACATAAAATTTGAAAGTAGAAGCAATAAAACTAATAAGAAAATAATACAAATTTAGTTTATTTTTTTTAAGTTTATTTTTCCTTTTTCCTTTATTTAAATTTATTTTTCTTTTTTATTTTTATTGTAGGGTCGTTTATCCTTTTGGAACTCATTAATGACAATATTGTATATTGTATAATATTGTATAAGAGCTAATAAACGAAATTGTTTTTTGCGGTTAATTGCGGATTATTCAAAGTTATCACCCTTAATTGGGCACTTTGAATCATAAATCAAATAAGTGCATTTCTTTATACAGTACCACTTCTAATAAGACTAATAACTAACTTTTATAAGGACAAATTATTAGAGTCTTTAATGGTGTTATCTCGTTGCAGTGCTGGAAGACATAGAAAATTCAAAATATAATGCACAACCTAAACTCACTCTCAATTTGTTGAATTAAACAAGTTTTAACTTACATATACAAAATTTCATATGGTTCTTTCAAATTAGATTACTCAAAATATTATAATTTTAGGTTGAATTTGAAGCCAACAAAATATAATTGGCTAAAATTATTGAAACCTAAACTATTGAAACTACTGAAACCTAAGAACGCATGTTTTTTTATTCGCATCATTTATTACTGGAATAGGCTGCCGAATGATGTAGGTTGTGCACCATCCTTACATATTTTTAAAAAAAGATTAAATAAATTCATCCATGGAATTATTTAGAAGCGTTGTACTATGTAGGAGTTTGAAATCTTGATCTTGATTTATCGAATTTATCACTAATATATTTAATTTGACTTGGCTTACTTTGCAATTCACCTTTATTTGTGTTTTTCTATTTATATTGTTAACTTTTGGTCATATTCCTTTTGCCACTTATATCGGAATCACTAATTTTTTTCATTGATACTTTATCCTGTTGTTATTAACTCAAGCACATGGCGCTTATCTTGCTTGGTTGCTTAAATAAATATACAAAATGGATTTGAGTCAACATCGCCAAAATAAAAGTGAGCTATAAGAGAAAAGAAGTAATAACATATCTCCAAATTAAAATAAGGAGGTATATGTTAAGGAATGCAGGACAATGGTGAATAAGCCACGGTGATATGTTCGCCTTGTTAAACAATACACATCGCTCGCTAAATAACTCTAAAATTACCGTAAGAAAATCAACTAAGAGATTTATTTAAGTACCAGCTAACAATATGATACTAGTAAATTTGACACTAGTATACTTCGATAATCCAGAGAATGTGGAAAGATGACTTTCGAAGACAACTACGGAAATTTGGATCTAATGGACAAGTTGAAGTATATCCTATTATGTACAAGAGAAGCAAAGGAGTTAATCACCCATAAATAAATGTGTCTTCTACAAATATGTATCTTTCTTAGTTTTATTTCTGTCTTTGACAGAATTAAACTTGCCATATGATATCAAAAAACCAAGTGGCTGCTGAGGATCCATCTAACTGCAAGTAACTCTATGGTGAAAAGGTCTCGCCTTGGTACTCAAGATACTTCCAGCGCAATACTGCGATAAATATTCAAACAGGGAGACCTCAAGATTTAAGAATGGGATCTATTCGCCACGATAACTGCTTGAAACCTGTCAAGAGAAACGGTTCTTTGTACGAGTGGCAAAGTGCAAGCGGTTGCAGCATGGAATGCCAGAACGCTTATGGATGTCGCAAGTCAAGCGATCACTCTTTCCAAATATCGTGTGGATCTCGCCTTCGGAGATCCATCTTCGACATCTCGCGTTTCGAGCAATTACTAATCCTGGTTCGGAGCAGAAGTACTGGCTATCACTGTAATGCTTCGGATAAATCAAAGCAAAAGGGCGCTTAAAAAAGTTCTGCCCGTTCTGATTGTGCAGAAGACGGTAAACGACTGCATGACCTATGCTCGCTTCAAAAGAAAATTCCACAATATTTCGATCACCTGTGTATATATTTCAAATTTAGATGACGGCGATACTAATCGCATGGAACTCTCCGGACAACCAATATTTCAGATTGATTCAGTTGGCGTTGGAAGAATTCCGCATTAACTAGTCGTGCAGAAACGGGCAACCTATATCTGATCATATTATGGTTCAAATCAAGATACACATAAAATTGATAACTCACAAGAAACAATGTTGCTCAAGATCTTTTAACTATTAATTAAAATTAATTAAAATCTAAAATTAAAATTCGGGGATAATAAGAGTATCTCAAATCGAATTATTGAAGCATCTCAATGATACAAATATCAACGACTTTTCTGGAATGGCAGATGAATACTGGTCCAACTAAAGGAATGCTTTCGAAAGTCAGCCATTTCCACATTACGATGTGTTAGTAGGAAGTAGGGTGATTCGATATCGGAAGCAAGTCCAGTTGTCAGAAAAAGCAGCCAAAGCATGAATGTCAGGAGATCTTGACTATCGAATGCTTCGAAGAATTATAACTGAGTATGGTAGGAAAGAAACCAGTATTGGAACGATATGGTCATGAGAATGGAGATGGCAACCTGATTATAACAGGAAACTATTCCGCCTTCATCACAAAGCAACTTGGAAACACCTTCACACCTTCAACAAATATACTTTCTGGTATGGAAGAATGAAATAATACCAGTTGACTGGATCAAAGCAATTCTACTTCCAATTTCTAAGAAATGTAACAGGACATAATGCGACAATTATCGAAGAATCAGTCTCCTAGACATCTCCGGGATTATTGTTTCTTTCCTGCTGAATTATTACGATAAGAAATAGCAGGATGAAAGGCCGCGGATGTGCTAATCAAACATTCACACTAAAGGGGAACAACTTTAAATATCAGCAACCCAATGTCACATGTTTTATCGAATTTGCAGCTGCCTTTGATTCAATTAACGGCGCCTTGGATAATGATAGAACGCGACGGTATTCCAGAGAAGATCAATCGCCTCATAAAAGCCTTTTATCAATGTCCACCGATAGTGTGCATAGGGTATTAAAAGACTTTAAAATAAGAACTGGTGGCCATAAAGGCTGAGTCCTTTCCTCAACAGTATCCAACTGTGCGACAGAATGGATAATGAACATCGCTTGTCGGCACTCAAAAAATACTCAAATCAGTATAGCGTACTTTCATAGACCTTGAATACACTGATGAATAATCTTTTTTGCTGATATTAATGACGAAATGCAAATAATGCTAATCAATGTGTCGACAACTATAGCACGAATTGACTCTGATCAATATAAACAAAACGAAAATCTTTTCGTCTTATTTACAAGAGGCTGATAAAATACTTTTAACAATTCTTTGCAGGTTGAGGAAATGCTAGATTTCAAATATCTCGCTTCCACTTTACTCACAAATAGCCAAAAGAAATTATGGCAAATCTCTAAAATATAATTAATCTTGTTGGAATATTAATTATCTGGGGAGTTCCACATGATTAGATATCTTCTTTGAGACGGAACCATGTATTAGTAACAAAAAATCCATGTTCATTGTCAAAGCGAAAAAAGCAATCTCGATCTCTGATGACGCTTCGGACCCGATTTATATATTTACCGAATTGATTGTGTCATAACTTATGCTCATATCAGTTTTCGGTAGAGATGTTGTTAATAGTTGGAGTTCTGAACAGAACCTTGTCACGGTGATCTGCATAAAATTGCAGCATATACAATAATGACCAAAATATTGCAGAATCATTTACCGGCTTCCACTCAATCAAAGCAGACCGAGCTTTATCAGACAAGACAATCGTTATGCCAATTCGCCTAGAGTTAAATAGCTAGCATCTCTTTTCGGAGCCAGGTTTAATAATAATTTCTAGAGGCGCGAGGTGAGGAAGATGGACCTCCGACAAGCAGGCGAAATCCAAATGATATTTAAAAAGAATGTGAACAATGATCGCTTGGCTTGTAACGTCCAAAAATGTTTCAGACGTCCCACGCTAACACTTCGTTGTGCGTGCAAAGAGACAAGAGAGACATGTTTCCAACATTCGCCCTGACTGGAGAGTATATCTTATTTTTTTAAAAGCTCTTACTATTACTGATTAAACTGGCTCCGCTGACTATAAGGATAAGGCTATTCGATTCGACGCTATCGTTAACAGTAATAAAAGCCATTCCTTTTTCAATCTTTAAGTCCATAAATTCACTTATACATTCAAAATCTTTTCTGACTATATCGGTTCAGGTCTTGGTTGGATCTCGTTTTTGACGCTATCATAAGATTTAATAACGAAATACGTGTTAATTGTTGTGGTGGGCGAAAAAGAACTCTAACTAGCCAAAACGGTGATCGTACTATTAATGCAAGTGGTATTTGAACAAAAGTAATAATGTACGATCCACTCGGCGTAAGGCATTTTATCAGAGTACATCGGCATAGGTCTGTGTATATGAGAGACTCTTTCGAAATAAGAACTGGATACTTTCTTCAACAATATTAAACTATGCGATAGACTGGATAGTGGACATCACTTATTAGCATTCAAGAGAAGTACAAATCAGTCCAGAGCATAGTGTCACATATTTTGAATACGCTGTTCATGTCCTTTTTGCTGATAATTACGACGTAATATTAAACAATGTATCAACAATTGCAGCAAGAATTATACTCAGAATCAATATATATAAAACGAAAGTCTTATATACAAATTGATGAACTATCTTCTTGTAAATTCATTGCAGGTTGAGGAAGTACCCGATTACCTTGGATCCACTCTAATACCAAATGGCCAGGAGAAAAATGGTATTACATCTCGGATCAGGGAAACTAGAAATGCGTTCTTTCGGTTGACGAAACCTATGGAGTCGTCGTGAAATCACCACAAAAACGAAAGTCTAGTCTACATCTATATTGCCGTGATTTATTCGATCTTGCTATATGGCTCTGAGACATGACCAATGAGAGTGGAGGATATCAAGAAATATTATCATTATCTACCTTTGACCACTCTTGTCTAAGGTACGGATCGTTCGAGCGGATAAAATATCACAAGATCGCATCCATCTTCGTTCAAATACCACTTGCATAAATAATGTTATCACAGAGCGCCGCCTTCGCTGGTTAGGGCATATTCTCCGTCGTCCACCACAGAAATTGACGCATATTTTGGCGTCAAAAGCGAGGTGGTCCAATTAAGATCTGGACTGATAGGGTGAGAAAAGATTTTGTATAGGTGGACCAGCAATATATGGACTTAGACGATGGAAAAAGGAATGGCTTCCATTACTGTCGACGATGGCATCAGACTGCGCTAGAAAGCATCTTACCCTTGTAGCCACTGGAGCCAGCCTAACCAATAATGGTGAGAATTATTAGAAGATAAAATACCTATTACCTATTTTTATCAATTCATCGCCGGTCGCCAGACTTTGAACATCTTGGTCAATCTAATCCTAAATGGCCAAACGAAAGAGATAAAATTACAACCCAGTAGCTAGAAATAAGTTCTTTGGTTGGCGAAACCTTTACGGAGTCATCGTTAAATCACTATAAAAATAAAAACGAAATTCAAGACGATATAATTGCAATTCTATTAATCCTGGTGTATGCCTGCGAGATGTAGCCAATGAGAGTGGACGATATCAAGAAACTATCTTCCTTTGACCACATGTCTAAGGAATATTTTACAGCGTTCGCGGATAAAATCTCATGTGATTATATTCATCGTCACTCAAATATCGCTTGCATTAACAGTATTATCACAAAGCGCTTTTATTAGTTACGATACATTCAATTAGATTACTTGCTAAATTACCTGATGGATGGCATCAAAAGCGAGAATGGCCAATCAAAACCTTAACTGATACAGTCAGGAAAGATTTTGAAAATTTTGAATAGTGGGACCAGCGATATCTGGACTTAGACGATGGAAAAAGGAATGGATTTTATTATTATTAGCGATGGCACCGGACTGAACAGCTCTTACCCTTGCAGCCAGCCTAACCAGTAAAGTGAGAGCTATTAGAAGAAGGTTGAAATGGATCCAAAAAGATGTGTAGAAAAGTAAAATAAAACAGACTGTAAATAAATTAATATACAAAAATATGAATATACAAAAAATAAAAAAGTGAATTCAAAAAATCAAATACAAAACAAAAAAAATACCAAAATCAAATACCAAATACCAAAAAAATACCAAAATCAAACTAATTATTTCCTTCCAAACTGACCTTCTTTTCCTGTTAAAATCGATAATGATGGTAGAATATAATTCAAAAACCCTTTAGAATGGTTTAACTTTCTGCACTGGCGTTGAAACCAACTTTTATTCTGCAAAATTTGACTACAGTTATCCAAAAAATCTAATAATTTGGATAGAAAAAAGATAATAAAAACAAAAATTAAAAAAAAAACTGAAATAATTAACTTGATAATCTAATTCAAATAAATGTTCTTCTTCAGCATAGAAAATTCGACCATTCGCTGTAGTTACGATATCAGAAACTCTACCGCCTTCCAATGGAATCTAAGAATTTCATATGCATAAAAAACATGGTTATTCTTGGAACTAAAAAACCCCCTTTATTATATAAAATATTTAAAAATAAAAATATAAAATATAAAATAAAATATTTAATATTAATATAATATTAAATATTTAATATTAATATATATTATGATATAAAATATTTTTTATGTAATTTTGCAAACCAATAAATTGAAAAAGGTAAATAAAAAAAAATGGCGAATAATCTGCGAAGTGAGATAATTCTTGGTCATCACAATACCTTGAAAACAGCATCAGGAATAAGATAAATTTCAGCTTTTTTTGCATCAAATGAACCATTAACCGGCAAATCACTATCAGGATCGGTTAGGGAAACTGCCAAAAGTAATATCTCCTTAGATGTTACAACAACCATGAGATAATGAATATGGTCCTCCAATTAAAAATTGTAAAAATAAAAAAAGAACAAAATGAAAAAACTTTGAAGATGAAAATGAAAAAAAACTTTCTCTTTGAAAAAATAATAATTTGAGCAAAATCCTTTTAAACTATCGAATGGAAGTTATGATATTTGTACGAAAACGAAAATTACCTTAAACATTCCTGGAACTGGCTTAACTAGTGAAATCCTTGTAATAGTATTTGGAATTCCATCAAAATAAGCCAAATCACAACTGAAAATATATATTAAATTTCAATATTAAATGGTTCCCATCGGTGAAGCAGAATAAATCAGAGTGATACAATGCATAAAGTAAATAAAGTATAAATATTTGAATTATATTTCCAGAAAAAATGCAATCAATTACAATTAAAATTTTAGAATCAATTACAATTTTATGATAAAAGGAAATATTAAAATTGCCAATAATTTTTCTATAAGGATTTAAGCAGGCACCATCATTTCTATTCTATTCTTCCACTCGTATAAAAATAACTTTTTATGAAGGAGCTCGTATTTTGAATATTTAAGCAAAAAATATGTACAACAGATTTCAATTTTTTTAAAACATTCGTAAATCCAGTTTCAAAAATAATCTTAATCTTCATAATAATCTTCGTAAAATACCTATACCTAAACAATAAAATGGAACTGGAAATTACTGAATATGGTCTCAGCCTATTTTTTTTGCACACAAGTTCGGTTTTTGCAGTACTATTAGTTATTTTCAGAGATCAAAAAATTTCTCTTTCTAAGAAAAATATATAATGAAAATTTTAAAATTAGATGGAAAAAATAAAATTAAAAAGACAATAATAAAAAACAACTTTTCATCGAAATTCCATAAATAAAGGTCATTATCAATAGTCATATATGCTCGTCCGATTTCAGTTAAAATCCCAACAGTATATATACACTGGGCATCTAAAAATCTTTTCATTAACATCTTAATAACATAAATAATTCTACTAGTTATTCCAAAAAATAAACAAAATTCAGAGAAATATAATAACACTACTTTGCCTAAATTTAATAAAAATAAAAAAACTTAAAAAATTTAAAATGTACACGATAAAAATTTAAAAAATTTAGAGAATCACATACGATTTAATTGATCGATGAGTTCTTTTGGAATTGAACGAGCTGGTTCAGAAACGAACTCAAGCACATCACTGTCCTTTAGCGAAGAATAATCATCAACTGCCAAACCGGATATAGTAACTTTATCTACAATTAAACTTCATTTTAAAAATTATATAATTCATACAATTAAATTAATTTCTATAGCCGAGTTACTTAATAAATTATTCATGAAATTTTCTGAAGAAAAATTTTAAATTAAATTTTAAATTAAAATTTATTAAATCGTAAAGCTATCGTCGAACCAACCTGGTTGATTTGCATCATATTTTAATTTGTAAATCAAGTCAACATTATCATGGTCCCTGCGGAGAAATCGAATAACTGTATTTGAAGCAGTTTCAAGGTGCTCACTCTTTGCCTGAGGTGAAATATGATTCATTTTCGTTATAAATTGTTTCGGATCGATGAACTGGCTTGCAGCCCAAAAATATTACCTATAATTCAAGAATGTACACTTAAAGAAAATACAAATGATAAAAGGCGAATACTTGTCTTTAGCTAATAAATAAAGCATTATAAACAATACTTTCATTTAAATAAGGTGGACTAACCCAATTAGTCAATCAGTTCCCCAGGCAGCTCTCACTCTCAAATAACTCACCAAGTTATTCGATTTTTCAAACGAATTAGAGTTCATTGAATTCAAATTTTAGTACATTATTTATTCTTTTAGCCACAGCTACTGATCTTTTTTTTTAAGAGCTTTCACCATTACTGGTTTGATTTACTGGTTGTCTGGCTCTGCTGGTTTGAACTAAACAGATATGCCAAAGAGTACCTCTTGGCAATATAAATACAGGTAGGTCGCCAGCACTACTCGAACTTTTGGACAGGTTTACTCCTCCCGGAAATAACCCACTGAGCCCACAAAACCAACTACTGAGATAAAGGAAATGGAATAAAATTCAGATATTTAGACAAGATAATTTTACGAAAAAAAAAGATCCCTTTACACCTTTCCAATTTCTCACAAAGACTGTTTAAGGAAATATCAAACTTTGGCTGCCATAATCCCTGGTCTATGACAGGGCTTTTAGCAGATGATAAATAACAATCATAAATGACCATCAATCACTTCAATTTACTTTCAGGGGTTTTATGCGACTGAATCAATTTCCCATTCGCGGGATTTTCTACCTCTGATTTTACCAACAACCATTGGCTATGGATAAGGATTTGGCTTAAAGTTGACTTTTCCATGCAAACTATTCTGAATATTCTATTCTACTACTTCATATTCTCAACTAATAAATTGCCTCCGGAAACCTCTCCTCGCAATTAAACAAAAAGTCGCACGCAGCAGAAGGGAAGAGAATAAAATGTAAAAAATTAAACGGTTAGCAAGAACTCAAGAATTCAGTCTTTGACCCACACTGCTACCACCATATATTTACGATAAAGCAAAGCAAAGCACGAAAAGAGGATATCAAAATGAAAAAATTATGATCACAGACTTGTGAATTATCAGTGCAAAAGCACAAAACTGAGAAAGTAGGTGAATAAGAAGGAGAAAATATTTCGACCCGCCGTTGGAAAATGATTTCCATTTAAAAAATGGACTAAAATTTAAAAATGTATAATGAATAAAATGAAAAAAAATTCGAAAAAGACTGGACGGTCTTTCAAAAAGAAAATAAAGAGGATTAAATAAAGACCAGTGCAGGCCACGTAACCGAATCGCAGTGAGAAGGACCATCAGAACAAACGACCGAATGGTACCAAGGAAGACCCGCGCACCGAATAAGCCAACAACACTTGATTCGAATTAAAAAAATGTTTTTTGAAAAATGAAAATGGTCTATAAATTTGTGCCAATTTAAATAATTTAATATATAGGAGCGCTATAATTATTTTTTAAAATTTTTGCTAGTTTCGCATTAAAAAGTTGTTTGTTTTACTTAAATTTTAGTTTAAGTTGTGAATTTATAATTACGTTTGGAGTGTTTGTTAAACGCACAGCGTACAGCGAGCCGCCAGCACCACCTGGATTTTTGGACAGGTTTACTCCTGCGGGAGTGGAACCTCCGCATAGGTGCTCCGCGCCGGGCAACTTCCCACCCCTTTTTCCCATCCTTTTCCTCTTCTCATTAATTTCTATATGTAATGCATTATGTAAAAAGATTAGACGAGAATACAGCGAAAATGCAAAGTTTTAATTGTTAGAGTGAAAATAAAGTTAAAAAAAATTTTTTTAGCGATGTAAATGAATGAATTTTCCATTTGTGCGGGGTGGAAATTTTTTAATTTAATTTAATGAACAAATATTTTTCTTTCTTTTTTTCTCGAATAATTTATAAAATTAAAAATTTTCAGAAAAAATTTGTCGATAAAGAATTTCGCATAATCGATAATTTTAATAATTTCAAATCAAGCAATGGGAATTTCATGGTTTTTATTAATTTCTTTTAATCGTTTTAACAATAATTGCCGTCCTAAATCAATTAAATTTTAATTTTCGATTGAAAATTAACTAAACAAAGTAAGTAAGTGATTAGCACTGTTTTCGATCAGCTGCGTTTGCTAGCGGTGCGATTGAAGTTTTCAGCCAAAGGTGCTTGGCGGTAGAAGAGTGGGCTAGCAGCGGCAGCTGAATCTTTTCTTGGCGGACTTACTGCTACCGAAGGCAGGAGCGCGAGCAGCTCGCCACTTACCCGTTCCGCCGCCTGTAATTTTTTTATAAGTTTTCCAATAACATTTTTAATTTTATTCTATTTATTGGCTTCATTTTTTCGATTGATTTTAACTAATTAATTAATTTTTAATGTGCTTTAAATAGTATTTCATCGTTTATTAATTTTCTTTTTATTTTTTCTTGCGAATAATTTTTTTCTTTTTTATTTTTTTATGGGTTTATATTTTCTTTTTTCCTTTTTTAAATTTAATTTAAATTTAAATTTCTTTTTTGTTTTCATCATTTTGTTTTTCTTTCAATTTTCACTTAATTTCTGCATTTTTAATTTTGCTGTTATTCAAATTTTGGATTTTGGTTCTTATGGAAAGTCATAGTCATAAACTATATATTCATGTATTGAAGACCTAGATTCCCAATAGTTCCTTATAGAGTAACGAAATCATTGTTAGTAAAAATTTAGGACTCAAATTATACTAATAGGAAAATTCAGAACTCACATTATACTTCTAAAGAAGAAGTAAAAATTCCAGGGTATTTGAATATGACAAAAATGTAAAAAGTATAGAACGTGCAATCGAAGGTGAAGGTGCTGAACGTACGGGTGTTTATAATGTCGATTCAATACCATATAAACCGAGCGATAATGTTCCAGGGGGCATTAACAATGTTTTTATACTTCATCATTCGCATTATCCGCATAGCACATTCACTATAGGTTTACAATTTTTTTGTGAATAAAAATGTTAATTTTTTATACATTTCTCTTAATTTCTTTTAATATGTTTTTTAAAGTAAAGATCAGATTTAATCATTTCGTGATAGTTATGACGAGTTTTGGCCCAGTAATTATCAAAAAATTCATATTCATATAAACTTATAGCTTCTTGATCCGCTCCATCACCTTTCTTTAGGCGATTTTTTCTTGAAGAAGTTACCAACATTCAGTGGAGTGAACCAAATGAGATGTGATAATAAAATGATAACTGAGAATCCGTCAGTCAATCTATTTTTTAAGAGAATGTTTAATTGAATATCTTTTTCACTTATTTTTCAGATTATTTATATATTTATTTTTTTAGAATTTATTTGATCAGATAAAATGAAAAAATTTTTTTCATTTATTTTTACATTTTGGAATGATGCATTTTTTAGCACCGAATGAAAGGCCAAAACAGTCACCTCGAGCGATATCAGATCGTGGATTTGATTGCATTTTATCTAAACTGAATTCTGGCTTAGTTCAAGATTCTGCTGGGAAATTTGAAGTATCTGGTTCTGAATATACACTTCATGACTTTACTATTCGCATTGGTAATGCTACAATGGGAGTTGTTAGCAAAGGTTTATATTGATGGATTTTGCATAAATTTTGTGCAGTAAAAAAAGACGAGCCATATTTTAAACTTATCGTGATTATTATTTTCATTTTCAGGTGTGATTGTTGAAGTAGAATATGGAGCATCCTGTGTTGCATCACAATGTTCAGCATTCATTGCTGAATTTGTAGCAATGTTCTTTCCAGATCGTGTCGATTCAAAGCCACTGCTTTTGCAAAAAGCTCAGCCTGAACCATATAGCGCTTTGGATACATTAACACAATATCTTGACATATTTCAAAATATGAGGAAAAAAACGTAATTCGCTTTTTTCTTGGTTGAGTACTGTTTTGTTTTGCTATAAGTTGTAGCAGTTTTTTAAATTACTTATTTCTTATTGTATTTTATATTATATTCATTTTTATTTAATTTAAATAAACTAATTATTTCAGTTTATTTTCTGATTTATTTAATTTTTCTTGGCAGTGACAAGGAATGAAGAATAAATGAAGTGAAAAAAAAATGGATTAACATGCATATAATTTTTTACTAAAGGATTTTAAATTACCCAATTTCTCGAAATAATATTTCATATTTCTCTTCCAGAATGAGCTGAAACGTAAAGCAAGGCTTTAAATTCCTGAATAGCGAAAAATGAAGAAATGAAAAGGATGCAGCGTTCTTCGTATCTTAAGGGTGATTCTTTGAATGAGGTCATATATATATATATATATATATACTTTCGAGTATAAATACAAATACTTTCATTTTTGTTTATTTTTGATCAGACGAAAGGCGATTATTGTTCAGTTAATAAAGTGGAAAAAAAATACGAAAATACAAAATTAGAAGAAAATATCGCTGATAAGAACTGATATATCTATTGTATCTGTTGTCGAACTAATTCATTTTGTCGAGATATGAACTAAAAATAACCTTTCATATGATTTAATCATATTTATCAAAAATTTCTCTTCTTACTTTTTTATTCTTTATAATTTTTCTTTTTTTATTGCAGTTCAACGCTGGCAAGATCCGAATACCTAATCTTCGGATCCTTTATCCATTATTTCGAGCTCTTTCATCTGACGAACAGCATTCTTCTCTGAATATAATTTTAAAATCATAATTAATTAATCATAAAAATTTATAATTAATTTTATTAATTATAAATTTTTCAAAAATTCCTTTTACAATCTGTGAAATTTTAAAATCATAATCATAATTAATCATAAAAATTTATAATTAATTTCATTAATTATAAATTTTTCAAAAATTCCTTTCATAATCTGTAAAATGATTAAAATATTTATTAAATATTAAAATATTTACATATTTTGATTACTCAGAAAAAAGTTCCTTTTTTTTGTCCCTTTTCTTTCCAATTTTTTAAATTTTTTTCCAATTTTTTAAAAAAAATTTTAAAACATAGTATCGAATGAGGAAATTAAAAATTCCGCTTACTTTTTTGTTGCTGATTATCAGGGATATCGATTTCTTACCAAGATTACTTATATTTTTTGGTAAATTCTATTTTCTATATTATTTCTCACTGCTATATGTAGGTTAATCGAGTATTTATTTCTCAGATTATGATCTCTACCGTTAACAATCGAATAAATAAATTCTGCTGGTGCTAGCGACTCACCTATAATTCTATCGCCAGAAGATTCGCAGACAGAAAAAAGCAACAGTTAATTGGGCAATCTAAACCAAGGATGTTATGCATAATCCTCATATTTATAGCATACAACATGGTAAATTGTCATACCTTCAAAAATGATTTTCAACTTTTCGTGAATGAAAAATGGTCAAAACTTTTGTAAAGTAGATAAATGAAAAGCACTGATATGCTAATAGAGCATCTGACACATTGTCCTATGGATCGAGCGATATATTTTTGACTGAAATGAATTAAGCATTCAATACCTGTCGTTTGATAAGAGGGAATGTGGTCAATGAAATCTCAATGATATTGAGCGCCCACTGACAAAAGAATCCCATTTTAATAATGAGTCAGACCTGAAATTAAGGGTACCAGTAATAAGATATACTGATAAAATGCTAGTTAAACTATTTATTCGGCATCATTTCTTATAACGAAAGCAACAGTAGAAATATTGATCACCGCACTTATTAATAAAAATTTTATTCTTCATACTTCAAACTTGAGTAATTAAACCGCAGTAATATGCTGATAGGGACAGAATGGCTCAGTGGTTTTTTGCTCAATTCTGAATGCCGGTGCTGAGGTTCTATTCCTCCCAGGAGCAAACCTGTCCAAAAATCTGGGTGAAGAATAAAATTCATAAATTCACAAATTCATAAATTCATAAGGAATAAATCTGGGTGATGCTGGTGACTCACATATCTTTTCTATCGCCAGGGAATTCTCTGGCATATCTAGTGCGACAAGCCGACGGAATGAATTCAACCAGTAATTGTGAGGACTCTTATCTTAAAAAAATATGATAAGAAAAAACAATCATATTTGATTTAAATTAAATCCAATGACTAAAAATACAACGATCTCAAAAACAAATAAGAAATGAACAAATAATATAAAAGAACTTAAGTAACAAAAAAATTGGGACCCAACTGCTTGGGTCCCTCTATTGCTCCACAATGAGAAAAAGAAATACAATTTTCTTGAGAATACAACTCGTATACAACTTCTATAAATTGACCTTAATGGTTTAATGACATATATACTTCATTTTATTTCATTTATATTTCATTTACAAATGAAATAAGCAAAGAATGAAAGGTATCTTAATGAAAGGTATTTTTTGAGAGAGAGGAATGGGGTTTGAATTAATAAATTTCGAAAAAACATCGCATTTTGCGACACTAGTAGTTTAATCTGGGATTTTTTGATGCATTAAAATAAAATAAAAGAAAAAACCAATTTTATCCTATCACGAATCCCATTGCCTTCGAAGTATTTATGGATTTTGGACGAGTAGCTTATGATTTATGCTTTCTTCTAGTGAATTTCTTCCTGATTACCCTAAAACCTTAAATATTAAATGTCTAAAAAAATACGTTAGAAAAAAACAAATGATATCAACAAATATATTGAAAAGAAGGAATTTTATCGAAATTCTTTGCATTAGTATTGAATTATATTAGTCGTTGCTGCCCAGATTATAGCCTGGAGTTTCAAATTTTATAAACTGCATAAAAACTGTCATTAAAATGCCCAGGGCATTGCTTGCGACTCACCTTCAAGCTTATCCGTGAATGGTGAACTTTATCAGAGAATTGACGGAATGATTTCATGGATTATGCAAATAAATTGGCATCGACTTTATATTATCAAATAGCCTCGAAATCGTAAAATTTCATAGCATTTGCAAATAATTTCTTAAATCTGTAGATTTTCAGATCAATTGATTAATTAATTAATGAAACCTGAAATGAAAACGCGCCGTCTATTAAATTATGGATAATATTTTTATCACCTTGTTTTATTAATAAACTGATATATAATGATAAATATTGATCCTAATCGTAATTTTTATCGAGAACAATGTATCCGATATAACGATGTCATTAACATTATTATCATCAACATCATTATCATCCTTTTTCTGAATGCCTTAGGGCACCCATCGATCGCTGATCATCACTCAATACATTATTACATAGATCGTTTCTATGAGAGGATATAAATATAATGTTGATTTTATAGCTAAATCGTTCATTTCATTTCAAGATAATTCGCCATTCCTACGTTCCTTGTTTTTCAACTTGATTCCTTTGACTCAAGGCTGATAAGACTTTGGTGACCTTTTGATTTATCATTTTGATTCATCAGCTATTAAAATCACCGAATGCAAACTTTCATAAAAATAATTTTAAACCATTTTCTTAATCCCGTATAAAAATTCCCCTTTGATGACTGTCGTGAAATATAGAAAATATTTTGAAATTAGATATTTTTGTAGATTTCGGAAGTAATCGCATTCGTGAATGTAATCTTCGCTTCTATTGGTACTCATGAATTATATTTTTCTGATTTTTTTTTTTGATCCAATTTTAAAGAATTCGATGAATTTGTCGTTTTACCATCACCTTTTACCATCGTTTAGTTGCCACCTTTGTATTTTCATCAATTAATGACAAGATGGCCGAGTTACTTGGAATGAAGTTAAGTACCACGATTGTTTGACAGGAATAAACTAGCCATTGAAAGTGAGACCTGGGTGATGATGATAATCATATTTCTGACCACTTCTATGACTCACGCTTTCTAATTTCTAATTTGTCGCCAGTAATTAATTGATATAGCGAGACAAACTTGAACTGATGAATGTTGTTAGAAATTAAAAGATTAAACAACATTATAAAAAAAGAAAATAATGAGAGTTGCTTGAAAATAGATTCACAGTAATTCACAGCAATTCCTTTTAATCCTTCGAAACTTAATCGTCGTTCGTTTTCATAGAGTGTTCAAATTTCCACTTTTTTGTTTTTAAGTTTCATTTTTAAATTTCATATTTTAATTTGTATTTTGGTTTCCTTTTCGACTCTTCTTCTTCTACCAGCTCGTACCACTACTGGTTGCGCTGGTTAGAAGGGTAAGAAGTCTCCAAGCTGCTCGGTCCGATATTATTTGAACGAAGATGGATATAATAATGTGCGATCAGTGGATTCGTAAAATTTATCTTAGACAAGAGTGGTCAAAGATAGATAACTTCTTGATATCCTCCACTCTCATTGGCCATGTTTCGCAGCCATATAGCAAGATCAAGCGAATTGCAGCTATATGGACACGGATTTTCATCTTTATGGCGATTTTGCGACGACTCCATAAAAGTTTCATCAACCGGAAAAATATAATTCTAGCTTCCGTTATCTGGATTACGATTTCATCTTTGCCTGGCCATTTGGGATTAGAGTGGATTCAAGATTGAAAAGTTAAGCACTTCCATATCAATGAATTGATAAAAATAAGTATTTTATCAGCGTATATAAAACGAAAACACTTTCGTTTTGATTACACTGATTTTGAATCCAGTTCTCGCTGTAGTTATTGACAACATTTTATTACAACTAGCAGCAAAAAGGAATACATTATCAGCGTATTCAAAGTCTCTGGATTGATTTGCATCTTGAATGCCAGCAAGTGAAGCCTCATTATCCAGTCTAGTGCGTACTGTAGGAGAAAGGACGCAGTCTTGACGGACATCAGTTTTTATTTCATAGAAGTTTGCCATATACATAGACCTGTGCCAGAGTATGCTGATAAAATTATCTTTATGCGCCGAATGATCTTCTCTGGGATACCGTCACATTCCATCACTTTCCAGTGTTGCTCTATCAGTCGAATCGAAGGTAGCTACAAAACCGATAAAGCAAGTGTCAGTGGATTGCTGGTAGTTGAAGAGATATTCCAGCAACCTTTTTAACGTAAATATCTCATTAGCGTAACCGCGAATTGGTCTGACTCCAGCTTGGTTACGACGCATTCTGCTATCTTGTATTGTCATGAGTCTATTTAGCAAGAGGGAAGCGAAAAATTTTCGGGAGATGTCTAGACTAATTCCTCGGTAATAGTCGCAGTACGTCCTGTCACCTTTCCTAGGAATTGCTTTGCTCCAGTTTTCTGGTATTATTTCCTTTTACCATACCGGAGAATACATTTGTTGAGGGTGAGTTATGAACGATGATGGACAACATTTGAAGAGTTCAGACCGTAGGCTGTTTTCTTCGGGAGTTTTATTAGCTTTAAGCTTATGGATTACAGAAATTACTTCCTCTTCTGTTGACGGTTCGCAGTTGCAAATGTATGGCTCAAAGGGCGAATCAGTTATGTCGGGGACAAAGGTGGTCCATCATGGTTAAGTTTGGTCTCAAAAAATTCTTTCCATCTTCTGAGGCGATCCTTAATAACTTTAATAGACGCCCCATTGATATTCCATATCATTATTCGAGTTATCGCTTTGTGAAGAAGGCGAAACAGTTTCCTGTCCGAACCGCCGTCTCCATTCTCAGGGCCATATCGCTCCAATAGCGATTTCTTTCCCGTTCTGTCATGCTGCTGTCGTTATAATTCTTCGAAGCACCCGATAATCACGATCTCCTGACATTCGTTCTTTGGCAGTTTTTTCAGACAATTGAACAGTTGCTTCCAATATCCAACTAGCATATTTCCTACTAGTATCCCTAATGTGGAAGTGGCCTTTTGTAGGCATACTTGGGACCAGCGTTCATTCGCCTTCCCAGATCAGACAATTGAACAGTTGCTTCCAATATCCAACTAGCATATTTCCTACTAGTATCCCTAATGTGGAAGTGGCCTTTTGTAGGCATACTTGGGACCAGCGTTCATTCGCCTTCCCAGAGACATCATTGATGTTCATTTCAATGAAGTGTTTCATAATACGGTTTGAAGTGCGCTTCTCTCCCCGGGTTTTTAGATTTGAAATAGTTGAAAAGTCTTGGGATACGTTATTTTTTTTGACTTCTCATTTTTATACAGAATCTTGGCTCGAACCCATAACATGCTCTGATCCATGTCGGTTACCAGTTTCAGCGCTTCGATAAGAATGACTACCAAGTACAGAACTCTTCCAGTTGTGGCTAACTAATATATAGTAAGTCTGATTGGAATGTTGGTTGTCTGGAGAGTTCCACGTGACTAGATGTTTTCTCCGATGCCGAAAACATGTATTAGCAATAAAGAATTTATGCTGCTCGGCAAAACGAAGAAGGCGTTCTCCATTAGCGCATTGGACCTCGATGCCATATTTGCAATTTACCGAGTTTATCGTGGCGGCATCATGACCTGTCGCACATTTCAATCTCCCTCAATTATGACCATGCCACCTCTAGAGATGTGGTTAATAGTTGAAGCTCCGCATAGAACTTATCCTTATCGCGGCCATTTGCGCATAATGTTGGAACATATGCACTGATGACCGAAATATTGCAGAATTTTCACTTGAAACGTGCATAGGCCATATGAGTCATTTACTGTCTTCCATTCAATCAGAATGGATCGAGTCTTTTCGGATATGACAATTGCTACGCCATTTCGCTTCGAGTTATCCTAGAGACCACAGTAATATAGCCAATATCTTTGCTCAGAACCAGGTTTAATAATTATTCGAGAGCCGACATGAGGAAGACGAATTTTCGACAAACAAGCCACATCCATGCGGTATTTAGAAAGGATGTGGGTAGTGATCGCTTGGCTTGCAACATCCATAAGCGTTCTGACGTTCCAAGCAGCTATAGCCACCATTTCACCGCGCTTTCAAAGTATTAACAAGATGGGCCCTCGCCTCCCTTGACGGGTTTTGAGTACTTATCTCGGTTCGCGAGCAAATTCTATGCTTACGCCTTGGGATTATTTTATTATTATATCCGGTTCGTATATTTATTGAATTTACCACCGAGTAAGCAGTATCATGCGCGTGAAAAGCTGCGAACGTCGCGTAATTATTTATTACAAATTATTTTAAGCCAAATTTTCAGAAACTTTTTTTTGAAGATATAAAAATTGAATTCACCGCAGTAATGAATAAAATCGTATATATATTTTTAAGTATTTTGGATCCACTTTAATTCCAAATGGCCAAGCAAAGGATGAAATTGCAACTCGGATAACGACAGCTACAAATGCTTTCGTCCAGTTGATGAAACCTTTATGGAATCGTCATCAAATCGTCAGCATAAAGACAAAAAACCGCGTCAATATAGTTGCAATTCGCTCAATCTTGTTATATAGTTGCATGGCCAATGAGAGTGGAAGATATTAAGAAGCTATCAACCTTTGACCACTCATGTCTAAGATAAATTTTACGAATCTGACGATCAGATAAAATCGCACATGATTGTATCCATCTTCACTCAAATACCATCTGTATTATTTTTAATAATATTATCACAGAGCGTTGTTTTACCTTCGCTGGTTAGGGAACATTTTCCGTCGTCCACCACAGGAGTTTATGCATATTTTGCTACTTGCTGAACCCTGTGATGGTTGGCGCCAAAAACCAGGAGGGCCAGTCAAGACTGATATAGTCAGGAAAGGTTTTGAACACATAGGAGGACAAGCGATATAAACTTATACGATGGAAAAAGGAATGGTTTTTATTATTATTAACGATGGCGTTAGAATGAGCACTTGGAGATGTCTTACCTCTGTGGCCAGCAGAGCCAATCATTAATGGTAGGAGCTATTAGAAGAAGAAGAATTTATTCGCCGAATGAAAATTGTTAAAGAATGATAGCTTCCACATAGGACATAATAGTCGAATGAATCGTGGCTCAGATTATCATGTTCAAAAACAAAGGTTTGGTTCCGAACCAGTCATTAAAAAATCTCGATGAGCCATCTGGCAAAGACTTTCTGGCAGATCTACGATCTGTATTAATTGCTGAAACGGCTTAACTAAAAATGATACTACTTACGTGTATCCACATATATGGAACTTCTTACTATCAAAATCAATTATCAAAAAATTATATCAAGAAATGCCATAGAGTTATTAAAATTTGACAAAATTTTCGCCGAAATTTCTTATAATTGTGTGATAAGCTTGCGGAAAAAAAGGAATACTGTTGAAAATCTCTCCGAATTTTTCTTATCGTAAAGTCTCAAATTCTGCACTGCAACTTTTAATGAATGACGAAACTTTATTTAAAATGTGCAGAATTGTGAGCAGAAAAGGATTGAGAAAGAAAAGGTCTACGGATGGATTGCTAAGTTCTCCTTGGATTTACTGGCTAGAAAGACAAGATTTTTTTAGCTTAACAACGATGATCACCAGCCGGGAATGGCTCGTTGCTTCCTCCCTTTTAGTTAATTGTTTGTTTATAATGATTTTTATCTCAGTTTATTTCGAATTGTAGTAGACAAACCCAGATTACCCGAACTGAGTGCGAGGGGAACAATGCGCTACTTCCTAACGAGGAAGGTTCGATAAATAACCAAAACCATATTTATCTATTTTTTGCGTTTATAAGGTCAGTGAGGTCATTTCATTGACCTGTTGGCCTCTTTAAAATGACCTTTTAACCTTAAAATAAATTTGTAGAGAAGATGAAAGTTAAAGCACGTTGACTTAATAATTTTTCTTTCTATTCATCAGTTCACTGTGAGAAATTATAAGTTTCTTTTTGAGAATTTCTCTATAAACCTTTGAACAAACAAACCTTTTCATTTTCCACCGAATTTTTTTTCGCTTAGAATTAGAATATTCATCACTGAATGAAAACTGTAACTTTCCGGTAATTGTGGGTCACCGAAGAAGATGGAACACAAAAACATCGATGAGTTGAGTAACTTCAAACTGCCGATGTGTTAAACAGTAGGGAAATATGAGATAAGGGCAAGAAAAGGGAAAAAACCAAGCCAACTCCCCACCCCGACACCCCCTCCCCCTAAGGACTGGATAACCGAAAAGTACCCATTTGACTTCGTTAATGCCACAGCAAACTTCTGCCGATCTTAACGAATTTCAATCATTATGGCCGATATTTACAGTTTCGGCTGTACAGTTCGTTACAAAAATTAGCTTTTTCTTCTTTTTGTCAGCTTGAACTTCGCAAAATTGGTTTCTAAATTTCTTGCAGATTTAGTTTTGAACATTTTAAATATTATAGTTTTCAACTGATTGTATTTTTTTCTCAGTTTTTCACTTTTTTTGCTTCGTTCCTTCCCTTTTTAATAATTTAGTGCAAATGTTTATCGATCTGATTGGAAGGGGTTAAAGTTCAAATATCGAGCAATTATTTTATAAGAATTGTTGGAAATTGTTGAAATGGTAAAAGTGCGTCAGTCAAAATCCGTGAATATTCAACGAGTGCAGGCAGATTTTTTGAAAGAATCAAAAATTGTGCTCATCGAGCAAATTTGTTATAATTTAGAGGTATTCCAAGAGAAAATATGTTCCAAGAGAAAAAAGGTTTTCCATATTTTAATGTGCGTCTTCGAAGCACAAAATAAAGGTGAACCAGGATGGAGTTTTGTGTTTTTGCATGGGACTTATAATAATTCTATTTACGATAATTTAGCGAAAGAAATGTCCCCCTCCGTTCTTTTTTTGCTCTTTTTTTTAATTCCACTCTAAAATCCCTTCTGCTCCTTTTTATTCTCATGCAAACATCAAGCGAAACGTCTTAATTAATAGCCAATAGTCGTCGAGTGGAATGCTTCGGCACATTGTTGTTCTAATTTCGGGCGCCTGTGCTGGGGCTCTACTCCGTGGGGAGAAGTAAACCCGTCTTTCTGTGTGCTGCTAACGGCTCATCTGTATTTTTGTGGCCAACCGACCCTAAGAAAAAATTCGTCTGGTCCTGCAATTCAGCGGAGCGAGTCGAAACAGAAATGAGAAAAAAAAAGAAAAAAACAGCATTCACCATTCTCATTTCGATGCCTCCACTGATTGCTCGAATGAAATACATCCTTTCGATTTTTGACCCCCTCGAAGCAGTACCACACAGCCGTCCATTTTTCCTTAGTTAATAAGGCCATTTTTTGAAAAAAGCATTAAAAAAATTATTTTGGCCAGTTTTTTTGAAACTGTTATTAAAAATTCTCTTGGAATTTCGATTATTTCTTCTTTTTTACTTATTTAATTTTTGATTTTAATCGATCTGTTTTATTTAATCGGCAAGCGGTCTTTTAAATTCTTTAAAAAAATATCTATCAATATTTTAAGGGAGGACAAAATAACCGAGTGAATAGCGATTTAGGCTTTTGTATTAAAAGGTATGAATTCGCATTCTGTCTTAGAGTTGTAAACCTTTAAAAAATCATTGAGGATATATTAATATTTTCCATTTATTGATTAATTTTTCTTCGTTTTTGTCGTTTTTTTCAAATTCTTGGTTTCAATTTTTAAAATTATTTTTAAAATTTTATGTTTATTAAATTTAAATTAAATTAAATTCTTTCGCGAAGGATTTCTATAAACTCTTATAAATAATGTTTTATGCTTGCTTCATTAGATTAAATTAGGTTTAATAATTAAAAGTTGAAAATTCTTACAACGGAGTCAGTTGACGGTAGAAGTACAGGTGAGTAGTGTGGTCGCCAGTATGGTTTTTAATGATATGGAAGCAGAACGCTTGACCCTCAACACGATATTTTAAATCTCATTTTTCTACTCCTTCAGCCATTTGCCGTTTCTCTCTAGAAATTTTTTAAATAACCTGTTGTAAATGAAATATTATTAAAGATTCTAAAAAAAAGAGCAAAGTAGACATAAATAAAAAATTTTAAACATAATTTATCGAAAATTTTTAGTTCCCAGTTTTAATAGTTAATCTATTTTTTTTTTAAAATTTCACCAACCTAGTCATTACAAATTTACTAATGTGCAGTGACCTTATAATATATCGAAATAAAATTGGATTATTTTATCAATTATTAAATAATAAATTTCTCTTTCATTTGGTGATTTGTTTTATTTACCTTTCATCATTTCGGAAGATATTTTTTGATGGTTTTGACAAAAAATTCGAAAACTTTTATCCTTTGGATCCGACATCAGTAAACATATGGTCAACTGGTCTATTCTTTCCTTTTTCATTTCGTTAATTCAACTAATCGTTCTAATCGTTCATTCAAACGAACTGACTACATTTTACAGATTATTGTTAATTATTTATTGTCAATTGTCGACTGTAATATATTTTTTTAAAATCTTTCTGTTCTTCGTTACAAATCATCTTTTTTTTCGGTTCATAAAAAATTAATTAATTAATTAGGTGTTATTTCATTGATAAGAGAAGCGATAAAAATGCAGCTGTTACTGTTGTTTTTTTTATAAGTAAATATTTGATCAGTTGTAAATTATTTCCTCGATAATGCTTGAAGAATTTAACTTTTTCTTTTCTCTTCAATTGAAGTTTTTCGTCTTTTAATCGGCTTTTTGTAAAAAAGAATTAATATCTTTTATATGTTTCTCATTTAAGCTGGTTTCTTTTTATATTCATATAAATTTATTTCATTTTTCATTAAAATTTCGTTCTTAATTTTTTGCTTGTTTTTATTTTGAACTTGAAAAATTTATTTATCTTGTAACTGCGAAAAATCGGCCAATGATAGTGGAAAATGTTAAGAAATATACCCGTCGACCACTCATATTTATGGCACATTCTATATACTTATCGGTCGAACAAAATTTATATTATAGATTGTATTTACCTTCATATTAACAGTGTCGTCATAGAGCATCTTCTTCATTGGTTAGGCCACAAGAATTGATCTGCCTCACTACTTGCTAAGCTTTATAATGGATGGCGTCAAAAGCGAGGAGGGCCGATGAAGATCTGGACTGGTGCACTCAGACTGGTGCAGTGAAAAAGTTTTGAACATATAGGCGACGCAGTGATTTATGGTCTCTGGTGAAAAAAGGAGTGTCTTCAGTTATTCTCAGGATTGGCATCGGATTAAAAGGCCTTGGAATCGCCTTATTCTTGTAGCCAGCTAAGCAAGCTTAACCACTGATAGCTCGAACTGTTAGGAGAAGATATTTTCGGTCGTTCGTTTCTTTTTTTACATCATTTTTTTTCATGACTATAATTTTAGATTTTTATGGATTGAAAATGAACAACTTGTAAGAAGGAAAAAAAAGAAGACAGAGGAGACAATTGATTGTTGTTGAGGTGGCATCGCTATTAAACTGGTCATTCTGTTTTCATTTTCATTCAATCGACCACAACAATAACAATAACGAGTAACGAGTTAGTTTAGTTTTTCTTATTCTTCGTAGCAATTCCTTAATGAACCTTTTTCATATATTATTTTTTCAACAAATAAAATTAGGTTAATTAATTGTTGTTGATTATTTCTTATTAAGAATTTAATTTTTTATTATTTTTTTATGGAATTATGGAAATCTTTAAGCTTTTTATTTTATCAGATCAGGATTTTTAAATTATTGAAATTAGAATTTTTTTTGAATTTCAAATCAGTCATTTTTATAGAAGATAATTAATTTATTTTTTAAATCCATTATTCGAGATTTCCGTGATTTTTTAATAATTTTTCATTAAATTATCGAATTTTATAGATAAAATGAAATAAAATTTAAATTTATAAATTTGGTCTAAGGAAAACGGTAAAAAAATTTGTTAATTAGTTATTGATGATGAAGAAGTTAAAAAGACGAATAACTGCTGCGTTTCGATGTAATACTTCACCGTCTTCGACTCAAATTGGGTATTGTTTTAAAATTTTTTAAGACTGATTTTTATTGAAAACCCAGTCTTTCCAAAATTATTTATAGAATCCTACAAATCGAGGAGTCTTAACATGAGGTCATTTTGTATTATCCCTAATTGAACTTTCTTTCAATTGTGGTTTGTGTAATAAAAGTAAATGCCTGTGGCTTTTTGGCTTATGGAAATCCATATTTTTTCTATATGCTTTGCTTATCCATTGTAATTCTATTTTACTTTATTTTTGCACATTTATTATTTTGTTACGACATCATTTTAGAATATATGAAATTTTACAAATTTTTTATTATTTTTGTTATTATAAAATCTGAATGATGATTATTTTATTTCTTCCCATTTCCAGTGAGTGTGCTCTACTGATTATTAGCATAATAGGAAATTTTTGCCAGGGAGGTATTGGAAAAATGCACATGGAATAAAAGTGCATATCACCAATATCCAAATTTTATAATTTCGGTTTATAATTATACGGGGTAAGAATCGAATGATTCTTATATCTCCGTATTGTGATTCGAACCACTCTGCCATCTTTCCTCATGTTTATTTGGGAATTGGATAGATATTTGAATAGGCTAATTAAAGTGCTTTATCGTTCAATAGGGGTCATTAATTTTGCAGTGATATTTGTTATCATCGAAATTGGAGTTTGTCGGATTCTATAAGTGAAATCGCTGAACGTTTAGCTGCTGATGGTATAATTATTGAAGAATGTGATGCATCAGTTGGTATACAAAAGAAAGAATCAAAACGTGAACGATTTATATTATTTAATGGTAGTGGGAAGAGTGGTTCAAAATCAATTAGTAGCGATTATATTCGGTGCTTTAAACCATTCCCACAACGATGGCATTCTACGAATTCGTTTATTTCATCAATACGTTAGTTCCCTTCTTTTTCTTTTTTTGTTGAGAATAATTGTTGTGAATTTAAAACAATTTTTTTTTAGTTCAATTTTTCTATTTTCTTAATTTTTTTGACATTTTTAAGACTAATGGTGTGATATGGTCGAATGGTGTGTTACTTAAATCACTGTCATTCATTAATAGCCAGTAGAGTGACCCTGGCCAGAAATGGTGAACGCTAACCCACTAATCAAATTGTTTAGATAATTGTTTTATATTTAATACGATATCTTTCTCAGTGAGATCAGTTTTTATTTTTCTAAACCGTGCCTTTCTCAATCATTCATTTGAACAATCGGCCAAATATGGCCTTAGGTGCAACAGATAGCTATTAAAAAAATGAACAAAAATAAGAATATTTAAATAATTTCGTGGATTATTTTTTTGTTAAAAAGTTGCGCTTACCATGTCGATGAATAATTTATTCCAGAAATTAGGGAATGGGTGAATAGATGGTGGTTTAGATTACCTTGTTAAGAGTCAAGAGTTTGACCGAATAAACTTCAATAAAAAGTTTTTGTGATGCTGTTGATCCATCTATCATATTTTTGTTGATATTCAGCGAAAAAAATTCTAACCTTACTAACAACGGGTGAGGCTAATTTGACCAGAAATTTTGGGCGCCCATATCTTTTTTTGCTTAATTAATTAATTATTCGAATAAGAAATTAATGGATTTTTTACTTTTTTTAAAGCTATACAATATGCGATGCTTATCCATCTCAATAAATAAAATTTGGCTAAAGATTTTTTTCTTGCTTTCCTTGTTTTTCATTGAAGAAGAGAATTCGAATTTATAAGAGAATATGAAAATTTTGGTAAAAATTTTTAAAAATCATTTTTTAATTTTTTAAATACTATTTTAAATGATAATAGAAAATTTTTATGAAATAATTGCAAAGGTTATTTCACTCTTAAGATTTTTTGTTTTTTTTTCAGAATCAACTTAATTATTTAAAAATTATTATTTAATTATCAATTTAATTATCAATTATTTAAAATATAAAAATAATGGTAATTGTTTAATCAACTTTTGCATTAATTACTAGTATTTTTAATGTTGATCAGTAATTGTGTTACTATTTCTCTTTTGTTTTATTACTTTACCAGTCATCTTAATCCCTTACTCATTTTTCTAGTTGATATAGGGTAACTGAATGGTTGCTTAAATCACGGTCTAAAAGTTTGGAATTTGCGCCCGGTCGGAGTAAATGTGAATAAATAAATCGTCGAAAAAATTTAGGTAGCGTCGACCCTCCTATACTTTTATATTTATACTTTTATCGTCATATGACTGTCTGACAAAAATTTCTCAGTAACTAAAGAAGATTTATGGAAAAATGGACTGAGATGAACAAATAGATGGATGAGTTTTTGTAAAATAATTTAGCCTAATTTCTCACATTTTTACGAATCGATTGGATAATTATTTGAACTATATTTTCAATGGCGATTCTCGATAGTCGTTAATGTTCTCTATCACTTAAAAAATCGAAATTTTTTAGTGTTTTTTTAAAAATTTAGTTATTGGGATTTTATTGAAAGCTTTAAAGGTATAATTATTGGGATTTATTTTATATTTAAAAATTATTCTTTGATTTAAAGAGAACAGAAATTCAAAAAATATTTCAAATTTTTTTATAAATTTGTTTTTAAATTGATAATATAAATTGATAAATATAATAAGCTATTATTGCGACTGGAGAAGAGAATCTATGAAGACGAGGAGGAGGTATAATATAGATGAATTGTAAAGATATTTACTTATTCGTTGTTTATCAACGGAGTAATTAGTGAGTGAGTGATAAGACTAATTCTTTGAAACATTGAATATTAGATAGCACTTGCTAAATTATGAATATCTCGATGTTACTTCAAGATTTTTGATGTTGTGGATTCTTAATAATTATTATAATTGATTTCTTATTGCTAGATTTCTAATGAGATTTTTGATCCTAGGATCCTATAAAATTTTAATAGTAAGTATAAGGGCGGGCATAGATAGCCAAGTGCGAAGCAGAATTTCTACGTACACACATAACACTCGAACACATTGATTGGCCAATGTGTTTCGTCTTCGCCTTATATATTATATATTATTTTATATATATATATATATATATATACATCCATTATTAAAGATAACACATTCTTGTTTCTAATAAACTCCTTTTTATCTTTCAAATTTATTTTTATCTCCAAATTATCATCAAAGCAAATTCTTTTCGTCATTAATTATTGATATTGTCATTTTTATTTATTATTAATATATCTATTGAGACATTGTTATTTTTATGATTCCCATCAACTGATGTATGAATATATGATGATAACCATTGATTTCTGAAGTTTTCTGGATTATTTTTTTATTAGTGTCTATATTTGGTATTGACAATTTTGATTTTTTTTTGCAAAAATTCTGGAAATAATATAGTATTGGAAATATGATAAGTTTGATAATGACTGAAAGGATAGTTAAGAGTTTTATAGGATTTAACTCAAATCGAGATTTCCATCTTGCAAATATTAACTATTAACTATGTTTGAAATTATTTTTATTATAATTTTATTTATCATTTTTCTTGTTTCAATTTTCATTTTAATTGATGAAAAATTTAAATTAAAATTTGCATGAATTAAAGGCTCTTATCAAACTGAAATGAGTTCATCATCTGGAATCACGAAATCCGTAACGTTTCATAATTTTTTGATGACGAGTGATAATAGTAATTCGCCAAAATTAACGAAATCTAAGTTAAGAAATAACTTAATTGCTCTTAACACAAGGTATAATTCATTCTCATCCTGGATACAATTATTTCTATTAAAACATCGGCATACATCGTCATCATCGTTAAATAATTCATTTATACGACCATCTGTTTCATTATGTGAGTTATTATTTTTCATTATTATTTGTGGAATTTTTACATTTTTTGATTTTTTATTTTTTCAATAAAATTTGTTGTTTTCGTGGAAAAAATTTAAAAAGTGCAACACAAACAACGGGTATGACGATTACGATGAATAAATGCAAGCAAATTATGACAGAATTTTTTATGAATATATAATTGAGTTGAATGCAAGCAAATAGTAATGCTTATGGAAATGTCACGAGTTTTCACAAAATTTTATCGATGAATCGATTTTGCTTTCCTATTAAAAATTTTATTTATATATAGGCAAAGTTTTCATGGAAAAGTTCGGAAGGAGATTTAAAGTTGATTACTTATCATTTGCCGATGGTTTAGCTCCACCGATGTTACTATAATGATGGCTTTTTGGTCAGAGACAGTTTGCGCTTGGGAATAGGTACATGTGGAGTTTGATCCTCTATATCATCTGCATTTCATTACTGGCTGATTCCCTTCAAGGTAGCATTCGCATCCACGTTACTTGCTGTTACTGAAACAGTACAATCACTTCCTATAAATAAGTTTGTTAATAGTTCATTTGAAACAATGGGTGAGATGAAAAAATAGATTAATAGACGATACAACGGCGATTCTTAATCCTTATAGTAATCTTTTTTCAGATGGCTATAATTGTAAAAATTTATTGATATTCAAGGAAAGATCCGTTACTTTTTATTCACTGCATTTATCCGATTCACTTTACTTTGAAATCATTTTTCTTCACACATTATTTTCTTCTAACAGCTTTCACCATTACTGGTAACCAGTAATTAGGCTCGCTCCGCTGGCTACAAGGGTAAGGCGTCTCCAAATCGCTCAGTCCAATACCATCACTAATAGAAGCCATTCCTTTTTCCATCGTCTAAGTCCATATATTGCTGATCCATCTGTATGTTTAAAATCTTTCAGTATGAGTATATCAGTCCAGGTCTTGATTGGCCCTCCTCGTTTTTGATGCCAACCGTTCGACAAATAGCGAAATATGCCCCTAACCAGCGAAGGCAACGCTCTGTGATAATATTATTAAAAATAATACAGGTGATATTTGAGCGAAGATGGATGCAATCATGTGCGATTTTATCTGATCGACGGATTCGTAAAATGTATTTTAGAGTGGTCAAAGGTTGATTTCTTCTTAATATCTTCAACTCTCATTGGCTATGCAGCCATATAGCAAGATCGATTTATTAATGTTCATTGACCTGTGCCAGGGTATGCTGATAAAATGGCTTTATGAGCCGAATGATTTTCTCTGAGACATCGTTATATTTCATCACTTTCCAGAAGGCTGCTCTATCAAGCGAATCGGAAGCAGCTGAATCGAATGCAAAATCGATAAAGCAAGTGACGATGTGTGGTATTTGAAGCGATGTTCTAGCACTCTTCTTAACGTAAATATCTGGTCAGCATATCCGCGTCAGGCTTAATTAGGACGCATCTCTGGATGCATTCTGCCATCTCGTGTTGCTATGAGTCTATTTAGCAGGGCGGACGCGAAAATTTTCTCGGAGATGTCTAGTAGGCTGATTATTCGGTAATAGTCGCAATACATTTTGTCATCTTTCACACATTATTACTCTCTTTCGTCCAGTAAAGTTAGTAAAGTTAATTTTTATGATATTAAACAATTTTGATCCGCATTTAATTTTTTATGTAAAACTTTTTATCTTGTAGTAATGATTTCTTATAAATTCACTGTGAAAAAGAGAGATTATACGAGTAGTTGTTGATCAGATGATCGCCTTAGCGTTAGGTTTCAGATCCTACCTCCGGTAAAAATCAGTTTGTTAAAGTCCTTGTAATGCTGGGCTGGTGTCATAATTGCGCCACCAAGTGACGCCACTGCAAAAATTTTTTATAGCCATTGGAACGAGCCTAACCAGAAATATTAACCACACTAATAAATTTACTGTAAGTGGCAGAGATATTAACTTTGTCGTTTATTTTGTCACTTTTAGGTTTTATTTTTGTAAATTTTTATTTCAATTTTTATTCATCTTCAAATTTATTTAATATTGGCCTTAGTGAATTAATTTATTCAGCATGAAATGTTCCCATTCTATATACAGAAATTTTTTTAAAAAAATAAAGATTTTTTTTTACAATAAAATTGGACTTAGAGCAGATATTTATAATAGATCTCATAAATTTTTTGAATAATTTTTTGAGTTGATTGTTTTTTGCAGCAGTTGTAGATGAGACACGAACTCTTGGTTCCGATGGTGAAAGTGTTGATGTATCACCATGTAGCAGTGAACAGTATGCTGCATCAAATGGAAGTACAAGCGATAGATATATCGTTAGTGTTAAAATGCGTCAAAAAACTGCACGTAAATGGAGTGAAGTAAGTAACTTCTTAATAATGAGTAACATTTTTCTAATTAATTTCTTATTCTTTTTTGTTAATTTCTTTCATTATTATTATTATTATTAAATATTGTTATAAAATTATTATAATATGAAAATAAAATGTTTCGACAAACGATTGTAGAGCAGATTTTTTAAATAAATAATTAACCCTTCGCTTTCGTTCTCATGCTTTCAGTCGCTTTCTGCCTATTTATTTATTAGGCAAATCGACGCAGTTCATCAAGTTGCTATTTTTTAAAGAATGAAAAGATAAATCTAATCGATCGAACAATAGGATTACTTTTTATTGCGTGCGATGAACCGCGAAAAAAAATAAAGCTAGCTAATGAATTTTTTGCTTTTGAATCTTTTTCATTGTCTCGATTTTCGATTTTTTACTTATACTTATAGAGTGAAAAAAATTTAAGAGAAAAAAGCAAGAAAATATGAAAAATTCAGTCATATAAAAATTAAAGCATATTGATTAAAGCTAATCATTGGAAACATTGTTCTAGACTTCAGTGGAATAAGTACCACCACCAATTTTGCGAGCTTCTTGGAACAAAAGAAAAAAAAAATAAAATAAAGATAATGAAAAAATAAAGATAAAAATAAAATAAAAATAATAAAGAAAAAATAAAAATAAATATAAAAATAAAAATAAAGCATAATTGTGGATATTTTTAATTTTAATGATTTTTTAGCAAGATATACAAAAACGATTATCGTTACCAGCAGATTTGCGATTACCACTGAGTGTTGTTGAGAAATTAAATCGAACACCGAATCTTGACCAACCTCTAACACGTAAAAATAGACGTGCTTCTTTGGTAGGCAAAATTATAAATATCATTTTACTTTTACTGGTAAAATAATTGTAAATTTCAGAAAAAAACTACAAGCAGATTCTTTATTTATATTTGTCTATGAAATTTATAAAATTTTGTTTGCGAAATTTATTAAATATGCTTATATATGAAATTTTTGAAAAGATTGTAAATTGTAAGTTATTAATGCCATAGCTGAGAAAATCATGGAGGGTTCCTTATCCTTATTATTTTATCTTTTTTTTGGTTTTATTTCAGAGCGAAATTGGTTTTGGTAAATTGGAAACTTATGAAAAATTAGAAAAGCTTGGCGAAGGTACATATGCTACTGTTTATCGAGGTCGTTCTCGACTTACTGAGAATTATGTTGCTTTGAAAGTTTGTTTTAATTATTTTCTTTATTTTTTGCAGAATCTTGCAAAAATTTGAAAATTTAAATAGTAATTATAATAATTTTTGAAAATAATTTTTTTGAATAATTTTTCATTAATTAGCTTTTCCTTTCTTTTTTATTCTTTCTTATCAAGACACATAAATGTTTTTTTTCGAATGTCTCTTTTGTTTGTTAAATATGGCTTTCTATGAATTTAAGGAGGTCATGAAGAAATTGATGAGATATTTAATTTTAAGTAATTTCGAAAGGTTTAAGTAATTTCTTTTTTTTGAGGAGATACGTCTGGAGTTAGAAGAAGGAGCACCTTGTACGGCTATTCGAGAAGTTTCACTATTACGAGATTTGCGTCATGCAAATATCGTTACACTTCACGATATTATCCATACAGAACGTTTATTAACATTGGTATTTGAATATGTTGATCGAGATTTGAAGCAATATTTAGATACATATCAAAATACTATACCTATGCCAAATATTAAAGTCGGTTTTTTTTAGTTTTAAGATTTTGATGAATATTTATATGGTTATTTTATTTAAATTAAAAAATTTTATTTTCAGCTTTTTCTTGTTCAGTTGCTTAGAGGCTTAAATTATTGTCATCAAAGACGAGTTTTACATCGCGATCTTAAGCCACAAAATCTTTTAATCAATGAAAAAGGTGAACTTAAGTTGGCTGATTTTGGATTAGCTCGTGCAAAATCCGTGCCAACGAAGACTTATTCTAATGAAGTAAATTTTTATCGATTTCTGTGCTTATTTAAAAAATAAGTTTATCTTATTTCTTTTCTTATCCTCGAATCCTCGATTAATTCTAGACAGGAAAATTTTGAATGAATTTAAAAAGCTTTGATAAATTGAGAGATTTTTTTAGGTTGTCACATTATGGTATCGACCACCAGATGTTCTGCTGGGTTCAGTTGATTATTCAACTCATATAGATATGTGGGGAGTTGGTTGCATTCTTTTTGAAATGATATCTGGTTAGTTATTTTATATGTTCGTGAAATGATGAATATTCTTCGAGAGTTTATGAGACTTTTCTCTAATTTACCTTTTTTTGGTCAATTTCAATGAATATTTTTTTTTTACGCTAAAATTTCTTTAAAAAATTTTTTTAGGCAGAGCTTTTTTTCCTGGATCAACAGTAGAAGAACAATTGTTATTGATTTTTCATACGCTTGGCTCGCCAACTCCTGATATGCATCCATCAATATGTAATTCTCCAGCATACCATTCTTATAAATTCCCTCATTATTATCCTGCTTATTTGCCAAATATATGTTCTCGGCTTGATTCGACTTCACTTGATCTTATTCAACGACTTCTTCAAGTAAACTTTCCAGGAAAATATTTATTGAATTCAAAAATAAGCAGATATATTATATTATTTGCTTTTTTGAAAAATAGGTTAAATCTACTGAATGGATTTTTAGTATGAAGGTAAAGCACGTCTTTCTGCTGCTGATGCTCTCGATCATCCTTTTATACGATGTTTACCGCAAGCAATTTTCGAATTGTCCGATTGTGAATCAGTAATGTCAGTACCCGGCGTTAAACTTATAAAAGAACCAGCAATCACAATTCATCCTTTCACGAAAAATAGTCGGTCTGATCGTCGGCGAAGTCTTATTTTGTAATTTAAATTTGCTATAATAAATTCAATCTAAAATGAAGAGATGCCCATTGGTGAAATTTTTTTATTTGAAGTCAGGATTTCCCAATCCTTTAAATCCAAAATATTTCATTATTTTTTAAAGTTTTATTCAATTAATTTTAAAAAATTCAATTAATTTTCTGTTCACTTGAAAATATCTTACAGATCTAGTTTGTTCATTTGCAGTGAGTATATATGCAGTAAGTATTTTAAATATAAGGTTAAAGAAAAAAAGAAGGAAGGTGTGAGGTTGGGGATCAATCGTATTTTACCAGTGACTCTTGGTCTGGAGTGGAATCTTGTAATTAAGTGCCAAATCGCAAGTTTCTGAATGTAGAAATGAAATGAAATTTTAGTGGTGCAATATACATAATATTTATATTTTATGGATTTTATGGATATGGATTTCCAATTCATTAAAATTTATGTTTTTTCTTTTTTTATGAAAGAAATTAATTGATATGAAAGGCTAATAAAAATTGTGGGCTTTTGTATTCTAAGGAAATATTTCAAAAATTTTTAAATTTTCAAATACCTTGCTGCATTCTGGATTTTAAATTATTTTTCTCCAAGTTTCTTATAATTCTTTTACTTTATTTCTGGTTAGGCTTATTCTTTCTATTAGTAAAGATGAATCTCTTTTATCTGCGAGTCTATGAATTTGATGTAAAATTTTTGATGAGTCCCTACCCTTGAGTTTTCTAATAGTTTACTCTTACAATTGTTATTAATTGAATTTAAAACCTCACCTTTTTTATTCTAAACTTTAATTCTTTTACTGTGATTTTTTTAAAAACCATTTTTTTGGACCAATTTTATTATTTTTTATTTATTCAAAAATTCGGTTAAAATTCACTTGTTTCTTTTTTTTATTTCACTTTTTCTTTGATGAATCCCTCCGGTGAAATTTTTTTCCTTTTTAAAATATATTTTATTTCTTGAATTATTTTTTCCATATTATTCCAAAATATCTTCATAAATTTTTTACTTTTATTTCCATTTTTGTATATTTTCGGTGATCTATATTCTTTTTTTAATCGTTTTATCAGTAAATTTTCATTTTATGTTTTTATATTATTGTTAGTAAAATATTCGAACGAAGCCCAATAATTCAATCAAAATAAAGGAAATAGTGCTTATTATTTTTGGTTAGGCTTACCACTGGTTATTAGCATGAGGCAATTTTGTTATTTGGGAATAGAAGTACAGATAGGTCCCCAACAACAGAAAAATTATTCATATATGACAAAAGTGAGTTATGACAAAAATATGTATTATTCACAGAAAATCATTTATTCATTTGTATTCAATTGGTAAAATAAGGAAATCATCGAAGAATTTCATTGTAGAATTGAAATTATTTATGTAAAAATGTGCAATGTGCTTAGATGTTTGTGCATTAAATAAAAAAATAAATAAAATAAGAAATTTGGAAAATTATGAAAATATAAAAGTTCTGTATTTATCGTAATATTTAGCATTATGATGTAATTACGGCAATTATGAAACCATTTATTTGCTTGCCTTGGCAGGAAAACCTGTCGTTATAGTCTGGCAGTATATACGATAAATATGGTCCCGGAAACAAATGGATTCTCGAGCTGGGATTTGACTCGTTAAGGAAATCAAGCAAAGATTGGCAGGCTGCATTTGCAGTAACTATATGGAAGGTCAGGTCAGTAAGAAGATAATTGGTTATGGATATAGGAAGGCAGTAATCAATTAGACTTCATCCAAATAAAGCATGGATATCGTGGGGAAGTCTTTCCTAACTCTGGGACTGGAACAGTAATTATGGATAAGAAAGAAACAAAATCGCGAGATTCATAATAAAAAATTGTCTAAGCTCGATTTGAAAGCATTTTGCAATATCATAGTCTATAATGTTTATGCCCCACGAATGATCGGGCAGATTCTAGACAGAGAACTTAACCTAATCATAGTATTTCTACCACCAAATTAACTTTGATTACGGAAAATTAAGACTGGCCTATCTGGGTCGTGGTATCACACAATCTTCTGTAGCCGGCAAGTGGGATGCAATATACCAGTGTAGCGTCTTCTGTTTCCTGAGGAGCATGGGCCTTTTCCAATATATGTTTTCAGAAGATTTTCCTATTTATTCTCTATTTATTTATAGGGGCTTTGCATACAATCAAGATTCTAAACGACCGACTAAATTTGTTAATCATGCTTGAAGGCTTCTGCATTATATTGTCGGTCGTTTCGTGCAGTCGAAACTGGTAATTTCTACCAGTTGGAGACCATATTCTAGCTAAAATGCGGAAGAACTTGATAACGCGTGGCAGAGTGATCCCCCAAATCTTTTAATTACCTCAAAAGATTTAGGTAGCACATTTCAAGCTGAATTATTAAAGAATCTAAAACAATTTAATATCAATGGTACCTCTGGAATGGCAGATGAGTAATGGCAAATGGCAAATGACTGGTCCTATTTGAAACGTCCAGAAGTCGATCAGATTCGCCCCAGGATACACCATCCAGAAGAAAGCAAGCTGAGTCCCAAACCCGCGCTGCCAGACTGGGTGTGTCAGGAGATGCTGGTTATCCGCAGCTTCGAACACTGGTAGTAAGACAAAACAAAAACAGGTACTGGAATCAGTTGGCATACAGAAATATGGAGATAGCAAAAGGAGTTAGCGACTATCGAAAAATTATTCAGCCCACTTTCCAAAGCAACGGTAATGATAATAAATAAAATTATCGGAGATGCGGATGGAAAGCTCTCAAACAGTAATCTCTTTCGATGCAAAGAGGTAGAGGAAAAGAGATTTGCAACTGCCAATTGCAACGAAATAATCTTTACAGTTCAGAAGCTTAAGTCTCCAATGAAGCCTCCTGGAGGTTTCTTTACAAAATGTTCGCGAAGGAATATTTCTTCATTCTACGCAGATTTTTCGAGGAATTTCCTTTCTCATTCAATAATTTGCATTACGCGAAACTTTGCGGAATGTTTCACTTAAATATTTGTCGATTTAAAAAGAAGGAATGTTCGACCTTCCGATGCTCTTATTTGCTGCCTCAAACCACTGCATTTGCCCTATTTTCATCCTTCCTTATTCCTTTCTACGTTATAGTTTTGCATGTCGACAGATACTCCAAAAGCAATCCGACACTTTTTAAATCGCAGATCAATTGCGGCCGATTTTTTTTTGAAAAAATTGCCCTGTTAATTCAGGTCATGGCTAAATCTGAGCGAAGGGATGGCGTTAGTTGGACTGAAAGATATGTTTTTTATATTCTGTGTTTAATTACCCAAGTTTGAGAGTTTATAAGGTTAAAAAAATGTCAATTTACTGGATTTTCTTGTTCTGATCGAATGCTTTCAACTGCTATTATTGCAGTTTTTCAAACCGAGCTAAGATTTTTTTCTAAAATTTAAAAAATAAAGAATTGAAATATATGTAAAATTTAATTTAATTTATCAAATTCAATTTATCAAATTTAATTTTTTTTTCTTTAGCAGGAGTAAACCTGCTATTATGTCAAAAACTCGGGATCCACCTGTAATTCTATCCCCAAGTGACTCTATAGAGAAAGGGTCAGATACATTTGAGGCGGCGTTCGCGTCTCCCGACGCCATGATACTTCGAGCCCGGTGGTACATGCGATAAGCTTATAATCCGAGCTTAAAGCGATCCCAAGGCTGGTAAATAAATTGTGCCAGGGTAATTGCTCGAAACCTATCAAGGGTAACAGCCCTCTGCACGTGCGGCGAGCTATTAGCCGTATCAGAACGCTTATGGACGTTTCAAGCCAAGCGATCACTGTCCACACATTGTCTAAGTATCGTGTGGATATTGCTTGCTTGTCGGAGATCCGTCTACCTCACTTTGGGTCTCGAGGTTTATTATTAATCCTGGTTCAAAACAGAGATACTGGCTACATCACCGTGATGCTTCGAATAACATGGGACGAAATGGCATAGCGATTGTAAAGTCTGACAAGGCCCATTCCGCTTTGATTGAGTGGAAACAGGTAAACGACCGTATGGCATATGCCCGTTTTAAGGATAAGTTCTGCAATATCTCGGTCATCAGTGTCTAGCTCCAACTCTGTCGGCAGATGACTGTCATAAAGACAAGTTCTATGCGGAACTTCAACTGCTAACAAAGTCACTACCGAAACATGGCATGATCATAATCGGGGAAGACTGGAATGCTCGCGTAGGTCATAATGCAGCTGCGATAACCTCAACAATTGGCAAATATGGCGTCGGAGACCGGTTTGCCAATGGGGAACGTCTTCTTCGTTATGCAGAAGAGCATGAATTTTTTACTAATACTTGCTTCCGGCATCTAGTCGCATGGAACTCCCCGGGCAACCAACACCAGATCGATTATATCTTAGTCAGTCGCCGTTGGAAGAGCTCCGTACTAGATAGTCGTTCCTATCGCGGAGCTGAAAAATCTTCACGGATCTGACCATGTTATGGTTCGAGCCAAGATCCGCATAAAATTGACAACTCGTAGAAAACAACATCCCCCAAGATTCTTCAACTATCTCAAACTAAAAAATTCGGGGACAGTGAGCGCATTTCAAATTATTGAATTATTACCGAATTTTTGAAGCATCTCAATCTTATTGATACAAATATCCATGATTTTTCTGGAACGGCAAATGAATACTGGTCCAAAGTATAGGAATCTCCGAAAATCAGCCACTTCCACGCTAGGGCATACTAGTAGGAGGTGTGCTAGTTGGATATCGGAAGGAACTGTCCAATTGTTTAAAAAAGCTGCCAAAGCATGAATGTCAGGTGATCCTGACTAGCGGATGCTTCGAAGATTTGCAAAGAAAGCAGCACGGCGGGACAGAAATCACCATTGGAGTGATATGGCCTCAAGAATGGAGACAGCGGCTCGATTAGGCGATAATAGGAAACTATTCAGCCTTCTTCATAAAGCAACTATAATTCTGGGAACGATCAGTGAAATGGTAAGAGACAGCAATGGCGTACTAATCAAAAGTATTAAGGATCGCATCACAAGATGGGAAGAAGGCCAAACTTAACCATGAAGCGCCATCTGTTGTTCCTGATATAGCTGATACGTTTGCCGAAGCATATGCTTGCAATTGCGAGCCTCCAACAGATGAAGAAATATGAAGAAATAATTTCAGTTATCCATAAGCTTAAAGCCAACAAAACTCCAGGAGAAGATGGTCTTCAAAACTCCAGGAGAAGATGAAGAGAAGATGGTTTTGATAGTCTAGGCTGAGCTTTTCAAATGCTATCCATCGTCTCCTTCAAAACGCACCTTCAACAAATGTACTCTTTAGTATGGAAAAAAGAAATATTGCTAGATGATTGGAGCAAAGCAATTCTGTTCCCAATTCTCAAGAAAGATGATAGGACATATTGCAACAATTATCGAGGAATCAGCCTATTAGACGCCTCAGCAGAAATTCTTGCTTCCCTGCTACTCAACAGATTTTTGGAAGTACGATGCGCCCTAATCAAGCTGGTTTCAGACCAAGGCGCTATTGTGCTGACCAGATATTCACGTTAAGAAGGGTGTTGGAACATCGCTTCAGATATTTGCAACTCACATGTTTCATCGACTTTGCGGCTCCCTTTGATTCAATTGATAGAGCGGTGCTTTGGAGGGTGATGGAACGTGGCGGTGTTCCAGAGAAAATCATTAGACTCATAAAGGCATTTTATGAGCGCACATCGGCGCAGGTCTGTATATATGGGGAGCTAACAGATTCCTTCGAAATAAGAACAGATGTCTGTCAGGGTTGCACCCTTTCCCCCACAATATTCAACCATGCGATAGATTGGATAATGGATATTGCTTGTCGGCACTCAAGAGGTGTCCGAATTAGTCCAGAGCATCACAGATCTTGAATAAGCTGATGATGTATACTTTGTCCATTGTCCATTCCGTCCATTGTCTATCCATTGTCTAAATCCATATATTGCTCGTCCACCACAGGAATTGACGCATATTTCATTATTTGCTAAACCGTGTGATGGTTGGCGTTAATTGGCGAGGTAAGGCAATTAAGATCTGGACTGATATGGTGAGAAAAAATTTTGAAGGTGGACCAGCAATATATGGATTTAGACAATGGAAAAAGGAATGGATTCCAATACTGTCGACGATGGCATCGCGCCTCTTGGAAGCGTCTTACCCTTGTAGCCGTTGGAGCTAGCCTAACCAGTAATGTAAGAGCTGTTAGAAGAAGAAGTTTTATACTCTGTTAAAGTTATGTTCGCATTGGGATCGGCCTAGTTTTGTATGTCAAATTATATTGTGAAAATGATTATATGCAGCTTTATTTCAAATCCATTCTTTTTTCGCCCGTTCTGAGACAATTTATTAAAAATTTTGTTGCCCAAATTTAATTTATTATCGTAAATTTATCGATAAATATTTTGAATTGTTTTATTCAAATTTTCTTTTTCCAAATTCTTTGAGCTTTATGATTATTTTTTCTAGTTTTTTTTATTAATTGTAAGTGTAAATATTATTTAAAAAAATATGAATGGAAGGTGCCAGTTTGTGGTACCTTCAAGTTATCTAATCCATTTGCGGCCTAACGAAGGACCGTTTTGGCCTCATTTTTTCTTCTTTCCTTTCGTTCCTTCCACCCGCTCTTTGTGCAAACATGCGTTGTCGTCAGTGATATGGTGCTGTGGATTAAGCGATTCACACTTGTACTTATTTTCTATTTAAACTTTCTTTCGAATTTCTTTGTTTCATTTAAATTTCGAAAATTTTCCGAAAATCGAACATTCTTCTAGTTTAAAAATAATAAATAAATGAAAAGCCTTGGTGGATATGGTGCGCTAATAATTACAACAATAATGATTAATGCTAGTAACAATAAAAATTTGAGGGAGATGGCAGGTCATGCGGACGCTTGTGGTAGTTCAGTGGCACTAAAAAATTGGGAGCTGTCGAATGGAATTGATTCAGTGGAAAAAATTTATCGATACGATGCAAATGAACAGCAAGCAATACTTGCTGTAAAACCATGGGAAAAAGATCCGCATTATTTCAAGGAAGTGAAAATTTCAGCTTTAGCATTATTAAAAATGGTAATGCATGCGAGACGAGGTGGAAACCTCGAAATTATGGGTGTGATTCAAGGAAAAGTTGATGCACATACGATTATTATTATGGATAGTTTTGCTTTACCAGTGGAAGGCACGGAAACGAGAGTTAATGCGCAATCACAAGCTTATGAATATATGAGCATTTATAGTGAAAACTGTGAACCAGTTGGACGATTAGATAAGGTTGTTCATTTGCTATTGTCATTATATTTTTACAATTTTCAAAAAGAACCGTTTGTTTGAAAGTTGCTATTTTTGTGTCGTTTTTTTAAGATTTTTTCCACTCTTATTTGCTAAATTAAATCCGATTCATTTTTTGCATCTTCCTTCTCCTTTCCCTTTTCTTATATTTCTCTTTCCTACCTGTCGTCTATTTCTTCAACAAAAAGTAAATTTGCTGGTCATCATATCAATTTTTATCGATTGTTTTTTGGATTGTTATTTGGATTGTTGTCGCTCTGTAACATCTCGCGATCGCGATTTTTTAAAATTTGCATTAATAGTAAAGTGCAATTTTAATTATGAAAATTCAGAGTTAATAAAAAAAAGTTATTTCTATTTTTAAAATGTAACAGCATAGTATTATTTTTCATCTATTTTAAGTACGACTTTGTACTAGGTTGTTGGATGGTACCATAGTCATCCTGGATATGGGTGTTGGTTAAGTGGAATTGATGTTGCTACACAGTCATTAAACCAACAATTTCAAGAGCCATTCGTTGCTGTAGTTGTGAGTAACATGTTTTTTTTTTTCTTGTTAAGTTTTTGTCACTTAATGCTCAGTGTCATTCTTTTAGATTGATCCTATTCGGACAATATCAGCTGGAAAAGTCGATCTTGGTGCATTTAGAACATATCCGAAAGGATATAAACCGCCGGATGAACAACCTTCTGAATATCAATCAATTCCGTTGAATAAAATCGAAGATTTTGGTGTTCATTGTAAACAGGTTTCTTGTTTGCTTGTATTAGCTTTGGATCTGATTTGGATTGATTCATACATGATTATATTAAATTAGTAGGCATTAAATATAAACTGAATATTGCAACATTGGTGCAGAATTCAATTATGATAAGGGTAAAATTTTAGTCAATCTGATAATTTTTCATTTCAGCGTCATTATAGTTACCAAGTTTTTCAGTATTATCCCTTAGAAGTCAGTTACTTTAAATCGTCGCTGGATGCTCGTTTATTGGAATCTTTGTGGAATACATATTGGGTAACGACATTGTCCAGTAATCCGCTTCTTACTAATTTCTCTTACACAACGCAGCAAGTAAAAGAATTGTCGTCAAAGTTGGAAAAAGTTCATGATAAAATCAAGGTTTTAATAGTTAGATGAAACTTTTTTTATACTGATAAACCAATTTTTTCAAAAATTTAGAATGTTTTTTAGAAACTAAAATAATTTTTGAGAAATTCAAATATATTTTAAAAAGTTATATATTGTCTAGAAAATTTTATATATGGGCAGGGAGTAATATGTTGCTTCAGTTGGATTCGGGCATCCGAATCTGGTCACTACCCATTTAGCCTTACCACAAAATATGGAGTGGGGATATTGGAAACTCACTTGTATTTGCTTCTATCTCATAATATCTATCTGGCTAAAGGATCTCATACCAGTAGTCAATGGAGGCAACCAAACCAGAGATGGCAGAGTTGTTCGTATGAGAAAGAAAACATGGCTTGTGCAATCAATTTCTTTATTTTTCAGCGTGGTTCCGATCAAACAATGTGGCAGAAAGAAACTACATTGCTAAACATTTCAAATGATGTGAATTCATAGACCATTTTTTTAACTTATGATTTATAAAGGATAAAATTTAAAGAATATAAAATCTTTTTAGAACAAAGGAAATTATTCCGCTCCAGTGCAAATGGCAGCAATCATTTGATTTTAGTATTCTAGTATTTTAGTATTCAAATATTCTCTTTTTAAGGTATATGGTAATGTAACGGTGCATCCACGTTTTGGTGATCTTTTTAAAGAAAGTTCGTCGCCAAAAGCAGCAAACGATGGCGTTAAAGTAAGAGTTATCAATTTTTAAAAGAAGAAAATGTTGGATACACGTTTGTTGTTTAATTTATGAAAGTATACTTTTTACATTTAGAATAAAGCTGTTCGAACAATAGAAAAAATTTAAGGTTTTATTTCAGTTATGTGATGAAGTTTTACCTGGCTTAGCTGTACAAGCCATTAAACGCGCCTTATTTAGTGATAAATGAAATACGATGTCGATTTTCAAAATATTTTTAGCATTTTATTTGCATTCTACTTTGCTAAATATGAAAAATTTACAACGGTTTTATCTATTTATTGGTGAGGGAATAGAAGAACAGACGCGTTAGGTGAAAATAGGTTAGGGTGTTTGGAAATAATCGGATGTAGGAAAGCACATATTAAAAGAGAAGGAAAGGGAAACAACATTCAAATAAAAGAGTCAAACCAAGAAACTATAGACGGAAAGAGAATTCATCATTATTCGTTGGCCATTTTTTTTACCTCTAATTTGTAATTTTTTCTCGATATTTTCATTGTTTCATTTATTGTGAGTAATGGTGAATGGTTAAAGTTTTAGGTGTATTTAAAATCATAATCAGTATTGCCGAATATAAGCCTCTAAATGTTTGATTGATATTATTTATAATTTGCAAAGATTTTAGATGTTGGTTATTTCGAAATTTGGTTACGAAATATTTATGAAGTTTTCTTGACTTTTTGATATTTTAAATTGTTTATGAATAAAGTTCTTCGCAGCTGAACTTGAAAAAGACCTTGTTTGTAAGATTTATATTCATATTCTATATTTTAATTATCTGCGTAAGGAGAATATGAGGAGGATTGATTTTCTTGGCCCTTTTTTGACAAAAAATTACACGAGTTAAGATGCTTGGTAATTGAGTTGTGGCTGGTGGCCTATGGTGTTAAAACTTACTCATTTTGTAATCGCCTGGATCAAATCACATGGGTTTTTTGTCAATTGGTGGAAGTAATCTTATTATAAAGGCTATAGTGGTGTTAGAAGCCTATTTGTATCCAAGAGAACTTGTCATTTCAAGGTGGTTTCTCTCAAGGTTTCATTAGTCGGTATATTAAACATTGGATAGTTGATAATATAATAAAGTGTGAAATAATTGCTATTTTTGTTTGACCTCAGATATACTGCTTCCTAATTGATGAGATTGGTACAGGAGGAACAGTTTTTATTAATTTTACATTGTTTTTTGCATGGTTTAACCTATTTTTATTAATCTTTTTCATTGTTTAATTTTAAATTTGTTTCCAAATTTTTTAAAATAATTCGTCCAAATGTTTGCTTTTGCTGAAAGAAATTGGAAAAAGATTTTTAAATAAGACAAAAAACGTTGCTAGAATAAATTTTTAGTGGAATTATATCAAATTATATTACAAGAGTGACGACGACTGGTGAGGAATAAAGAAGCAGTACAGCATTCGACAGAGTAAAGAAGGAAAAATTAGAGGAAAACCTTGGCACAGCGGATACAGCGCTGATATTCTTAACTTCATTCGAATGTGTTGATTTAAAATTGGGAGACAAGCGAAAATCGATGTCTTCGTGGAATTTTCGTTAAACGTTCGTATGAAATATTCTAATTCGCACCTATTTGAACTTTGTTGGAGACAAATCTTCACATCGTTGCAAGTTGCACCTAACCGGCAAATGAAACTGCAAATCGTAAGCATTAAATATTTTATTTTTTTTGGTAATTATATAATTGTAAATATATTAAGAATTAGAATTTTTTTCAATATTATTGTTTGCAGTTTAAATCTGATAATTAAATGAAGGATAGGCCGAATGGTATGCCGATTTGACCGAAATAAGGCTTCATCGACTTCTGTTCCTGAAAGGGGTTAACCAAACTTATCATTAAAAGTGGAGCGCAAGTAGTAGTGGGAATACATTTGTTCTTTATTCTCAAGTGATTCGTTGGCAGAGAAATGCGAAATACAACAGGACCTGGTTTGTCAACTGATGGGGTTAGATGAGTCTTTGATGAAGAATTCAAGTCAGAAAATAAACTTTCGTATGTGTCGTTAGAAAAAAGTAGTCGACCTCGCGAACTCTGATAGCAACAATTTTGTTGAAAAAATTATCGAGAATATCGTGAAAGAAAAGCACTGTGACGATTAACATGCCAGAAATTTCAAATGAGATTGTAAAAAACTGGTTGAGAACATCTGTAAATATCGATGTATGTATTGTTGAAATATCGTTGCTTGAAAAGGCTTGTCCGATGTGCTGAAAGTACTGCTATAAAATATTTACCATATTAATGCTGCAAACGCAAGTGAACATGCTTTTTTTTTAAAGATTAACCAAGAAACAAGTGGAGATAGGTGGAAATTCACGGAAAGAATACTTTCTACTTAATTAATTTAAAAAAACCAAAAAAAAATATACTAGAGATCATAAAGTGGTAGAACTAAGCTTGGTTTAACATCTAACATAATTATTATCTAACATAATAATTATTAACATTATTAACCACAACAGTTCAGAAATTATCTAGCAAATACAGCCGATTGAAAATATCTGTCTTTATAGCTATTCTTATTTAATGTTATAAAATTAAAACATAAATAAGATGATCTTCGTATCTTTTTAATTCTCCCTCATCTCAAAGCTTCCAATCCCCAAGAAAAGTGAGAGGACATATTGTGATAAATAATTATCGAAGAATCAGCCTAAACATCTCAGCGAAAATTTTTGCCTCCCTTCTATTCAATAGACTTATGGCAGTAAGGGCAGCAAGATGTCCCTTAATCAAACTGGATTTAGGCCGGGGGATGTCCCTTAATCAAACTGGATTTAGGCCGCGCTGACCAGATATTCACGTTAAGAAGTGTTGGAACATCGCTTCAACCCATCGTTACATGCTTTTCAAGTGCCTTCTATTCAATTGATAGAACATCGCTTTGGAGGATGATGGAATTATGGTCTTCCAAAGAAGACAATTGTACTCTTATAAAGGCATTTTATCAATATACGTCGGCAGAAGTCTGTGTATATGGAAAATCTGACAGACTCCTTCGGAATAAGAACTGGTGTCCGTTAAGGCTGCGTTTTCCCTACAATATTCAACTATGCGATAGACTGGGTAATGGTACCGCTTGTCGGCACTCAAGGGGTGTCCAATTCAGTCCAGAGCACAGATTTTTAATACGCTGATATAGTCCTTTTTGCTAACAGTTATGACGAAATGCAAGTAATCCTAAATAACGTGTCAACAACAGCGAGAATGGGATTCAGAGTTAATGTTAATAAATTGAAAGCCTTTTCGTTTTATACCCATAAGCTGATATCTCTTTTTATAAATTGACTGCCAGTTGAGGAAATGACTGATTTTAAGCTCCTTGGATCCACTCCAATAACGAATGGTCAGGTAAAAAATGAAATTACTGCCCGGATAACGGCAATGTTCTCCGGTAACGAAATCTTTATGGAGCCGTCGCAAGATAGCCATTAAAACTGAAGTCCGGGTCTTTACATCTGCGATTCGTTCGATCTATATGGCTTCGAGACCTGTTCATTGAGAATGGCCTTATTTGCCTATAACCATACATCGCTGTGGTATATTTTACGAGTTCGCCGATTGGATAAGATCTCCTATTATCGCATCCACCTTCGTTCAAATACCATTTGCATTACCATCATATAGCGTCACCTTCGGTGGTTAGGATACGTTCTTCATGGCCAACCACAAGAATTTCTAAACCCTATGGTAAATGGTGTTAAAAGCGAGATAGGCCAGTCAAGAACTGGTTTGGTAGAAATGATTTTGAACGTATAAGTAACCAGCAATATATAAACTGGCTAGACGATGGAAAAGGTAATGGCTTCTAATAGTATCGACAATGACATCAGATCGCTCACCTTGGAAACCCTTACCCTTTTAGCCAGTGAAGGTAACCTAACCAGTAATGGTAAGAGCTATTAGAAGAAGAAGAAAAAGTTGAGAGATCAGATTCTTTTTTTTCTGTGTTTTCGAAAGCATAGTTAATGTAAGACTTTTGTTCACCCATAATTCTTTCATGCGTATGTCCTTATTTTTTATTTCCTTTTTTCTTTTCTTATAATGGCATTCTACCAGATTATCTTTTCTGTTCTGTAAAGTTTGTTTCAACATTAGATTGCCCTAATTTCACGACACTTGGCACAGTTACAGTAGGTAGTCCTTTTTCCTCATTTCATTTGGCGTGGATCATAGTCGGCCGGTATCCAAGGCATTATAACTTTAGCGTAACTCATATTCGAGGTAGAGAAGATAAGCTTGCTGATATTCGTACTCTTATTTTTGCGTTCCGTATTAGCCTTGCGCCTTAACGCAGATATGCATTAGATAGTTAATAGTTAAAATAAGAGACTATAATATCATCGACTATTATTTGATATACCATAGATTAACGGTAAAGTTTCAATTCTGTAAAATCATTTATATACTCATTCTCCTCATATTGTTCCTTATTTCTTTCTTCACGTAGTTTTTGGATTGTTTTATTGCCTTTTTTTATGTTTGTTGTTTTGATACGAGGCAATAGCGGTTTTCCTCTGCTTGGTTCCCTTGAAAATAATTTTTTCTTCATCATAAAATTTTTCATTTTAGCTAATTTGTTTTTTTTCAGATTCTAAATTATTTTAAACAATTTTAATGTGACGATGCCAATAATAAATGTCATTTAAAGTGGAATAATGAATTTGCCAAAATTTTATTCAACGATTGGAAAATTCTATTGTTTGAAAATGATGAATCATGAACAACGCTTTCGGCTTTTGCAGTCGATTTTCAATCGTTTTTTGTTCGTCTTTGGTTTTGACGATTTGACGGACTCTATCAAGACGAGCAAAAATGTTTCGACGATTTCAGCTAACTGCGCAAAAATAAACGGTGAAGTGAAATCCGCCATCGCCACATCAAATGAGCTCTCGAATGGCAAATATCTTCCTGTGGTTTGTAGATTATATTTTTATATCAAATTATCGTTAGAATTAGAATAAATTAGCGAATAAATACAGTAAAACCAGTGAAAAAACCCAACGATATACAGAATTGTTTTTAATTCTCGGCATACCCATTGCTGTTTCCTCTAATTTCGTTTTAGCTTACCTTCAAACCCTACCGTTATTCGATATTCCCAATCAGCATTCATTCATTCATTTTCCATTCATTTTTTTTTGCAATTTTACAGCTTGCAGAGGTAAACTAAACAGTTTTAGTGATTATGAAAACACAATGTGACGTTTTATTTATCCAAAAGATTTTTAATCGAAAGAAGAAGAATAAGAATTTCCTTCTGAATTACTTCTGAAAAAGTAGCTTAGAACTAATTTAATGGGTTAACTTAATTGTAAACGATTATAAGAGCTGTAAGATTACAAGAATATACAAAGGATTCAAGGTAGGCAATTTGCTTTTGGGCTAAATTAAAGTTTCAACTTTCTTTTTCTTAACGCAATTCTTAACGCAAAATTAATGCCAGATCGTAGAAGATAATATTTCACAGTTATAGAAAAAACTCTTTGGTGCTTTTAAGTTGTTACGAATGGGATGTGAATTGTGTAAATCATGGAAAATATTGTAAGATTGAAGATGCCAAAATATTACAAGAGATATAAGTTATAGATTAACTTCATAAAAAATTTCTGCTGGTAGCTAGATGACTGAGATAAACAATTGAAATAATTTTCCTTATCAAAATACGATGATTTCGAGGATATTTTCCAACAAATAGTATTGAACAGGGAAAATTTTTGAGGAAATAGGTGGATTCTTTTTTTTCGACACACTCCAAATATATTGTTATGTGAAATTGATTCTTAAAATATGGTTTCATTTTGAACTGTAAAAGCGAAGAAATAATGTAAAGATGTTCAAAATGAAATTCTAACATCGTTCTTTGCTTTAAAAAATTCTCTTTTTTTATTTTGAGATGTTATATAGCTGATTCATACAGGTCCTTAAGAATAAAGCAGTAAGAAAAGTGAATCATCAGACTTACTTCGGTTACTTGTGGAGAATTATGTCCTCTTTGTGGAAAAATGATAAAAAAGCGCCTTCACCTGTTGAATCTCCATCAAAAAGGTTTCGTATATTCCCTCATTATTTACCTTTCATTATCTTTTTTTAATATAATCAAAAATTGTTAGCAGTTTTTTATATATTTTATTGTATTTCAGTCGCTTTTATTTTTTAGTAATAAACATGTAATCACAATATCGAGATCGGAAATTGCCGAACGTACTCGTGGATTGGTTTCAAGTTTTCTTATTGCGCAATCACAGAGTTCTTTAAAATTGCGTGTGCTTGAACTATGCAACCATTTTGCCGAATATCCATCGAGCCGTATTTTGGCAGTTGAGGTTTTTATTTATTTTACTTCCAAATCTTGTTTTCCTTAAGTCGACGTTTTTTCTTTCAAGGTTGTTTTAAGTTTGCTTTTACATAAATGTACTTTTTCATTTGATCGAATCATTATATAGATTTAATTAAAAAATAACAGCTTTCTTTTCATTTAGATGAAATTTAATGAAATGTAATGAAATTTACAGGATAAGAGATTTATGAACACTTTACATAGATATTTGCGAAAATTAGATGACGAATCAGTGAAAGGATGCATACGACAATGCTTATCAGTAATGGGATATGTTGGTTCACCAAAAGGATGCGGTGTGCGTATTTTGGCCATCGACGGTGGTGGCACAAGAGGAATGATGGGCCTTGAAGTATTACAATCATTGGAGGAATCTCTTGGCGGATTAAAGGTGCTGTATTTATTGTACATAAAATTTCGAATTTAATATATATTCTGTTGCACATTAACATTTTTCTAGGGTTATTTTATTTATATGATGATATTTTTAATATTTTTTTAAATGAAATAAATAATTTTTTCAATGAAATAAGTAAGTTTTATAGATTTGTGAAGTTTTTGACCACATTGTTGGCGTTAGTACGGGTGCAATTATTGCAGCATTGCTTACAGTCAAGAAACTCTCGATCAGTGAGTGTAAAGATATTTATTACAATACTTCTCGTGAACTTTTTAATCAAGGGCGAATTTCTGGTGTAAGTGGATTGTTGATTTCGCATTCTTATTACGACACTAAAAAGTGGATTGAAATGTTAAAAAAGGTAATTTTTGATAGTTCTTTTTTAGAAATTTCTAAATTTCAGTGATGATAAATAATCTGATGAAAAAATATTTTTAAAAAATTTAGCTAACAGGCGAAGAAACTTTATTGGATACATGTCAATGTGGAAAAACACCAAAATTGGGCTTGGTCTCATGTATTGTAAATGCTCCTGGCCTAATACCCTATGTCTTCCGTAATTATGAACATCCGCCTGGATGTGATAGTCATATTCGCGGCGGTTGCAAGCATCCTATTTGGCAAGCACTTCAGGCTTCTGCAGCAGCTCCGGGATATTTCAAAGAAGTTAATTTTGTTTTTCTTTCATATTTTCTTACTTTCTATTGTTTTTTTTCGTTTTTTCCCGTCTCCTGGTTATCTGGTTAATTGCTATATATAAAAATAACAATGTTTTGTAAAATTATTTCTTTATATGTACATATATATATATAATTAGGTAGCCATTGGCTCAGTTCTGCATCAAGATGGTGGAGTATTAGTCAATAATCCAACTGGCCTTGCTGTTCATGAAGCACGAATGCTTTGGCCCGATGAAAAATTGCAATGCGTTATCTCTGTAGGCAATGGACGAACGGTAACTGAACTTGAGGCAACAGATGTCAGGTTATTGCTTTCGATTTTGTTCAGAGATATTAAAATAAAAAATAAGATTTTAAGATATCTTAAGATATTAAAATAAAAAAAACAAGAACTCAGAGAATTTAAAAATACTTCATTTTTCGTGATACTTTTTTTCTTTTAAACCAAAATTGATTGAAGGATGTCGACCAGCATTCAAGATAAACTACTGCGCATCGTGGATTCAGCCACTGACACGGAACTCGTCCATCTCTCTATGAATGACTTATTACCAAGAAATTCTTATTTTCGCTTCAATCCCTATATGAGTTTCCCATATTCGCTTGATGAAATTGATCCTACAAAGTAAGAAAAAAAAACCTCAGCGCTTTCTCATTTAGAAATTTTTAAATTCGCACTAAAAAATGGTGCTTATTTCAAGAGCATCTTTTAATTATGAAATATTATAAGTTTATTAATTGAAGAGAAAAATTTAACAAACTTTAACAAACTTTAAAAAATTTTAACATACTTAACAAATATTTTTAAGACTCGCGCAAATGTGCCGTGATGCACAATTGTACATACGCCGAAATAAAGCAAAATTTGCAGCAGCAGCTGAAATTTTGCTTGCACCACCTTCTACCACACAAATACTTCATCGTAAATTTCAAAATTTTCTTTATCATAGTGGATATTTTACCCAGTTTGTTTAATTGAAAAAACCATTATGTATAAATTTTTGCAGATAACAATTTTTTATACAATTTACAGACAATTTTTGCTATAATTTTATAGCCATATTTTTATAGGCCCATTTTATAAATTTATTAATTATATAATTTTAGTGAAAATTTGTCGATTTCTTTCGTATTTGTTCTAATCATTTTTAGAAATACTTCATGACGCTATTTATTCATCAATTTTCATCATCATATAAGAAATTTATTGAAGATTCTTTGATTCTCATTGCTTTTTATCGAATTTATACCTTAAATAAGAAATGAATAATATGGACCAGCTAGGAATTAATAATTTTCCGAAAAGGAATTAATTCTTTTTCCGCATTCATTTTACGATCCGCTATAACCTTTATAAATATCTCCATGTGAATTTTGGATAATTTTTTTGTTTTCTCTTTTTGTCATTGTTTCATGATATTCCAATATTTGAAGAATGATATATTCAAAAAACAACGGAATAAATATTAATATTCAATATTAATATTAGAATAGTACTGCAATAAAATTAAAACTTAAGAAGATGCAGCTTGCAATTCGTCCCATTCTTCACTTATTATACGTGAAAAAACCACTCCAATGATAAAACCAATAGCACCTTTGAACATGCTCCTGAAATTTGAAATGAAAAAATTAAAATAAAATAATTTCAATAAAAATTACTGCGAAAAGAATTTTTCATTAAAGCTACCTAAATAAATTTTCCTGTAATAGAATTAATAGTTTTTATAATTTATCGTCACAAACTATAAAAAAATATATAGAAAGGGATGAATTTTCCATCATGAAAATTTCAAAAACCACCTGTCCGAAAATATTAATGGAAATGAATTTATCAAAGTATATTTTTTTTTTGGCATAAACAGGTTAAAGTACGAGAAAAATTTTCTGTTACAACTAGTACGAACATTAAGACGCGTACATTTAAAAGATTACAAATATACAACTTAAAATCCTGCAAATTTTAAATTTAGGGGACCTTTAAACTCTAAACTTATTGTAACCATTAAGAAGAAAGCTGAAATACATATATAAGATTAGCATTACCAATAAACACGAGGGTTAGGGGATAAGGTAGTGTTTCAGATTTTACATTTTCTGATAAATAGGCTATCGCGTAAACAACAATATTAGCCTACAATACGGGCAAATCTCCGAATCTTATGGACATTTTGGTTTTTCACAAAATTCCTGTTGCCCTTAGTTTTTAAAAGGAAACTTCTGGAGACTTATACAATTTCAATTACCGCATTCTTTTTTTAATCTTTGAAGCAACGACCAAAGAAACGAAAACTAAAAGGCTTTCCTTATTGAACGAAATATTCTTTCAATTAAAAGAACGTGCTATTAAGAAAAAAATTTCAAATACCTGAAAAATAGCGTTAAAGAACCACAATGAATTTAAACGACTTCATTTGCTTGTGATTTGTTAACGTAGAAATTTAGTTTTTAGTTTTAAAAATTAAAGTGTCTTAAAGGTTTCTGTAAATCCCATTATAAAATTTCTAAAAAAAACGGCTAAGAGGTCTTCGTTCTGGAACTACGATCTGAATGAAAGAACTCAATAGACCGAAGCTCAAAAATCGATTCGTCTCGAAACAATATGAAAATGCAGACGTTGGTGATTCTGAAATTTTTATCTCAAAATCTGAGACTTTTTAAGTTCAATTCCAGAAAATAAATTAATTAATTAACTTAATTAATTAGTTACACATAATTAACTAAATATAAAAACGAATAAAAAACTCTGCTATTAAGTTTTTAATCGCAAACCAATTAAATGGATTCTCATAAATTGTGGCGAAAATTCCATTTGAACGTGGCGCCGTTTTACTGTTTACTATTCGAAACATTTTATTTAAATATTTATATAAATATTTTATACACCAAAAAACCTGAACATTTATTAAGATTATTTAAATTAAAAATTATTAAATCCAAAATCTTCATTCTTCACGCTTTGCTTAATCTATTTTAATCGACTGTACGGCAAAAAGGAATCAGAACAAAATATTCAAAAACCACAGTTCACTTTCTAAGGAATGGTACTTTCTGGTTATCCGTCAGCATACATCACAGCAATTGCCAACTTTTTCTCTAGTCTATGGGAGAAGATAAGGCGATGAAAGACAAGTGCTTCACTGAAAAGTAAAGAAGTGAGCAATGCGATACGAAAATAGGAGAAAAAAATAGCGCTAGTCAACCTATTTAATGGAGCACAATGGTGCATGCATAATAATTGAAAAACCCCAAAAAAAACCTCCCAAAATAAAATCAATCAAAATTCAATGAATATTTGGGAGCTAAAGCATGAATCCTTAAATTATTCCTGTGTTCAAAATATTGCAAAATATTTGAAATAAAATTAAAAAGTAGGTGGAAAAACAGAAGGCAATAAAGTTTCACTCCACTTACCCGGGCGGGGAAAACCTAATTTGTATCAGCCAGTGCGAAAAGCAATCTCTCTCAAATTTCTTTTAACGAAAATTTAGGAGGCAACGAAAGAAAATCCGAGACGAGCTGCAGCCGAATTTTTGCTCGAAATATGCAGCTTTACAGGGCTAGGTTGCTTGGTGCTTGCTTGGTGTTTGCAGGGGTGGTTTGAAGATGGGTGCAATTTAATGATCAGAAAGTTGAAGATAAATGATAAATTTTTTTGGATATGTTTTGATGGTCGTTTACCGATCAGTTTGGATTTGTTCATTTGTGTTTATATAATTGTTTGATTGGTTAATAGGTCGTTTTCTTTTTTCCTTGATCTTTATTGGTTATTTTAAAAAAAAGCGTCAAGACAAGTCCAAAAAATGAATTTAATTTAGTTTTAGGTCAAAGGTCAAGACGTTCTCGTTCATTTTTTGAAATGGCAAAGGACTGCCATATTATCTTGCCAGCAACTATATCTCCATTAAATTCTTCGTCTGTTGATGAATTTGTGGCTCGGTTCATATTTTTTAAAATTTTTCTTGGTTGAGCGCCATTCACCATATCTTTCATTTTCGCATTTTCCAGTTTCTTCTTTTCTATTTATTTTCCTTTGTTCCCGCATCATTTGTTTTTGCCACAAAGTGATTTACTTTATCCAGCCTACTCTGCATATCTATTTTTTAAGAGCATTCACCATCGCTGGTTGGACTCTCTCGGCTGGCTTGTCGGATTGTGCCAGGGAGTATCTCGGCGATAGAAGTGAAGGAGACGCCAGCTTTATCTAGATTTTTCGACGGGCTTACTCCTGTTATGCATAGAACCTCAGAACATCAACATTTGAATCGAATAACAACCCACTGAGCCATTCTCCTTTCCTCTGTTTTCTTCGTTAAGCAACAGTACCACGCTACGAAACGTGATGCGTGGTGGAATTCGAAATTATTTTTACGAACTCAGGCCTCGATTCTCGGTGACAGTTATTTTGACACCGAGCTACCTCTGCCAAATTTATGTTCAACCTACTGTTGATGCTGTTAATAGTCTTATGAAATAAAAATATTTTATTTTAGGTCTGAAACAAGTCAAAGCGATTCACATACGCCGATGAAAATATTTCAGAAACGTTATCGTACGATTTCTGGATCGAAATCTGAAGATCATTTATTTACAACTGAAAATGGACGCGTAAGCTATCAATTTTTTTGCTGGCTGATTGCTTAAACATTTAAATGCAATATGGATAATAAAGGCATTAGAATAAATACAACATCTAAATTGGATGGAAATCGTTGACATTTGATTGAATAATAGTCATTCAGTTGCTTTGCAATTCATCAATTTTTAACATTCTGTTAATACTCTAGAGAAGCGAAGGTTGGAATATCTGTTTTTGTTTAAAAAAACTTTTTGCAATGCCTTAATCTATTGTTCTGTTTTATGTACGAACTCTTTTAAGTCCATTGAAAGTTACGGACTATAAAAGCCGCATAATTCCTCTCGAAAAATAATGCAAAAAATTTTTTTAAAGAATTTGAATAATTTCATGAATGAAAAAATTAATAATGATTTTACCAAGAAAAATCATATTTTATCAGAATCTAAAGGTTCATTAAGTTTTTATTCTCTAAAAAACTTTAGATGGAAGAATTCATGGATTACAAGTTGAGAACCATTAAAGGCATATTTCTTTATAAAATTTAAAATTTAAAATTTCTATTTCAAAAAGTTATTTTTGAGGCTTTATATATATATATATATGAAATTATTTTAGCGAATTTATACGAAAGGCCGTCCACCGTGGTATAATAAAGAAGGTAAAACCTTAAAACAGCCTTATGTTATTGGTATATGTGGTGGTTCAGCATCGGGAAAGACAACAGTAGCTAAAAGAATTATCGAACGCTTGGAAATACCGTGGGTCACCGTTTTATCAATGGATTCATTTTATAAGGTTTTTTCTACTATAAGTTATCATTCATAATCGAAATGATTATAATGAGTTTTCTTTTGTTTTCTTTTTTTCCTTTCTAGTTCATACTTTTTCACCTTGGTTCAGTGAATTTTAAAGATAAACTTAAGGTTCTTAGTGAAGAGCAGCATGAATTGGCTGCGATACAACAATATGATTTTGATCGGCCACAGGCATTTGATTTTGAATTGTTATACGAAACTCTACGGCGTCTTCGTGTTGGCAAGAGTGTCGAAGTATGTTCAAAATTTTCTATTGTACTTTCTAAAATTACATAAGTTTGGTACTGGGTTATAGGTTCCAGTGTATGATTTCACTACCCATCGTCGTGATAAACAACCAAAATTAATGTATGGCGCAGATGTTATTATTTTTGAAGGGATACTTGCTTTTTACGATCGAAGAATATGTGATATTATGGATATGAAGGTTTTTTGATTCTATCTATGATTATTTTCATAATGCTTATGTTTTATATTAATTGTGTTCATATTGAATAAAAACAGGATGAAGCATTAATTGTTTCACAGAATAATTTAAACATGAGTAATTTCGGGATAGTTTAAAGCAAATTAAGTTGGATTTATATTATCAAAAAAAAAAGTGGAATCAGTAATATATTTATTGATATCTTCTCTTAGTTTTAGTAATACCTGTAGTAAATTCAATGCAAAATAATCGAAAATTTCTTTAAGTTATAGTGATACTGCATTTAATCACTTATTATGTTGATTCAGTTTACTTTGAAAAACCATTTCTTGATGTTCTTCTCTCTTCTATATTCTTCTAGAATTAGTCTTCCTGTTTTTAAGTCAATAAGTTTTTTTTTTAGGTATTTGTGGATACTGATGCAGACGCACGCCTTGCACGCCGAATGCAACGGGATATAGAAGAACGAGGTCGTGGTATAGATGGAGTAATAGAACAATATTTTAATTTTGTAAAACCTGCTTTTGATCAATATATTGCCCCAGGAAGGAATATCGCTGATTTAATTGTTCCTCGAGGTGGCGAAAACGAAGTTGCAATTGATTTAATTGTAAAACAAGTTAAAAAACAATTAGCTGTCAGAGGTAATTTTTAAAAAATAGGTGAAGTTTATTACAAATTTGAATCAATTCATTTCTTTAAGTTAGATTAAATTTTTTGAATTTTAAAATGTGTTTTACAAGGAATTAAGGTTATGAAATTACAAGGAATTCAAATGTACAGAGAGCAGATATGGTTCCAAAACCTTTGCCTTTGCAGCTTCCTCAATCACTTAAAATCGTCGAACAAACTGTTCAAGTTCGTGGATTGCATACTTTTATAAGAAATGCCGAGACCGCTAGGTATTTTTTTCATTTCAGATCCTTAGAACCATCTGTTTTTATTTTTTTTTATTAATTATTGTTGCTTCTTTTAAAATATATTGTCAAATATATTGATGACATCAATAAACACAATAGAAAATATTATTATTAGTTCAATAAGTTTAATAATTGCGATCGAATAACCGCGAACAAAAGGAGACGAATAAATATAGTGTAGTATATGACTACATTGAGCTTGAAGAAAATGGCAATTATTTTTGATGGCTTTATAAGGGATTATATGAATACCCAAAAAAACGATTATCATAAAAACGATAAGCATAAAAACGTATTAAATGCCAGAAAATTAGAATATTATAAAAAGGCAAATATTAGATGGAAAATTAGATCAGTATTTGATAGAGTACGAAAATGCAAGATTATCATTTCACAGTCTAAATTAAAATAACTATAGGAGTTCTCAATTATTTTATGATGGGTATATAATAGAATGTCCAAATTGAATAATTTTAACAGTTATTTTTCTTTACCTAATAATTTTTCAATAATTTTTCTTTACCTAATTAAGTCTCAGAAATAATTTCCGACAATTATCATTAATTTTTTTCATTTCGAGTCCAACCATTTACTTGAGCTATTCGATTTAAATAGTCAGGCACTAGTCTGATTAACCGTTTATTTTAATTATTAATAATATTTAAATTAATCTTAGAATTTTAAAAATTTAATCTTCAGAGATGAATTTATTTTCTATTCTGAACGGTTAATGCGAATTTTGATAGAAAATGCAATGAATCTCATGAATTTTTCTGATGTTATAATCACAACACCAAATGGGATTTCGTTAGTCCATTTGCTTTTTAATTCTTTCACATTTTTAGTTCAATTTACTTTATTGGTTTTTTGTTAATCAGTGTTTTTCTAATTTTTGCTAATTTTCTAATTTTAATCTTTTGCTTTCTGGTTTCTTTCAAATTTAAAGATTATTATTTGAATTAAAAGAATTTTTCAAAAATATTTTTATATCTTTAAAAATTTATGTCGTTTTCAACTTCATTTTTTTCCAGAACCAAGGGTAAACGAATTACTGATGAAATTTGCGGTGTTGCTATTATGCGAGCTGGTGAAACTATGGAAAATTCATTACGAGCTGTAGTAAAAGATTGTAAAGTAGGAAAAATTCTTATACAAACAAATGATAAGACAATGGAGCCGGAATTGTTTTATCTTCGATTACCTGAAAACGTCCACAAGCACAAAGTCCTTTTAATGGATACTACAGTTGCTACTGGTTTGACTTATAGAATTTTCTTGACATTTTTGAATTAAATGGTGACACCTTTTATTTGTTTTGAAATTTTAACTGATACGATGTTAAATTGATTCTAGGTGCGGCTGCAATGATGGCTATAAGGGTATTGCTTGACCATGATGTCCTTGAAGAGAACATAATTCTTATTTCGCTCCTTATGGCTGAATCTGGTGTTCACTATCTTGCCTATGCTTTCCCCAAGGTTATTTTTTGATCAATTCACCAAATTTTTTGTTAATAATATTGATATTTTTATTATCCTTGTGTTTAGCCTTACTTATAAGGCTTATCAAAGTAAATGTATTCCGATTGTGATTTTTTGATTCTGTTTTTATTGATTACAAACAGCTTTACTGCTTCATGAGGTTTATTTTTTATTTAAGGTATATTATATTTCCTTTTTAGGTAACATTATTAACAACGGCTGTTGATTCATACATCAATGAATCTTATTATTTAGTTCCTGGCTTGGGTAATTTTGGTGATCGTTATTATGGTACTGAAAAATATACAGTTCACAGTAATAAGTCCTTTGAAAAGAATAATTCGGACGATAGGTTTAATTGTGACATTCATTTTTCTTCAGTGCCTAAATGATTTGTTTTTTTTTTTTCCTTGTTCTTGTTCCATCCTTTTTCTATTTTTATTGTATTAATTTTACTTTTAATGTTTATTCTCTTTGGTCTTATTTTTTTTTGCTTTTTCGTTACAGGCAAAATGGTTTTTTTTAGTTGGTTGATAAAAAGAATTTTTATTTTTTCTTTCTGAATACTAAATAAGTAGCTAAAGCAGCTTTCTCTCTCGATAAATGCGACAAATTTATTTTTTAGTTATTTTTTCTTAAAATTTTTTTTCGGCATAACATAAAAGATCAGACTTTTTTATGCTTTATTATAGTGAAAATGGCTTAGAATAATATGATAAAATAATTGGTTCAATTAATAACATTTTACGATTTTGTTTTAGTAAATCCAATTTTAGCTGCATGTTATTTATTTCTATTTGTAATAAGATATGAAATTTTTATTTAATACAGTTCAAAATTCTTGAAATTCTTCACAAGTAATATTTTTGAAGTAAAAAATTCTAATTTCCATTTTCCAGAGGATTTCATTTTATACAGCAGCTTCATTTCTACAGAAATCGAATGGTGTTTTTATAATTTTTTTTTAAGTATATAATTTTTGCAGTTTTATGCTTTCCTATGGACTTTCCATTCATTTTTTATAACTTTGGTGATGCAATATGTATTAGTAAAGTTACTAATAACTCTGGTCTCTGGAACTTATTAATACGAGCCTTTCAGTTTTTATCTGGAAAAAAATACTTGAAATAGTAGATTTTTCGTTATTTTCCTCTATTGTTCATAAAATTTTTCTTTCATAATTTCTTTCATAATAATTTACTTCTTTAATTTTAAAATTTATAATTTGAGAAGCAATTTTGGAAATTTTTTTCATATTTTATTTTTATTTCCTGGCAGTCAATATTATAAATACCATTTTGTTATCATATAGAGCTCATTTCTTTGTTTAATTTTTTTTTAAATAAGTGTGAAATTTATTTCTGTAATGTAAAATATGTATATATATATTTGCTTTGGTTTACATCATGATTTTTGAAATAAATTTAATAATTAAAGGGCACTAGCTTCTTTTGGCTAAATACATTTAAAGCGAGGTGACTGATGAAAAAATTTAAATTAATTAATGAAAAAGGAAATATTAAGATGTGGTCGTTATCATATTACAATTCATAAAATGGCTAAGAATTAAACTGAGTCCGATTGTTTTTTTGTAGAAAATTCATTCATGCAATGAGTTTTCCCTTGAGATTATTTTGCGTATTCGGAATGGATTTCAGATAGTTGGCACTTTCCACCTCTCAAGCCGCCTGTAGGAATGTATGAGGAAAATTTATTTATTTCGCAAGTGCCGAGAAAAAAGCAATAAACTGATTTGAATTGGCTAAGTTCCGAGTTATAAAGCATCTTAAACAATCATATTTAATGTCTTTGAAACCTGGCCACATTGCTGAAAAAAGCTGGCAAGATTCCAGTAGTTAATATTTCTATTAAAAAAATTTTAAATTCATTTATAAAGTTTTATTTGCTAATTAGTAAAACCACTTATAATAAGTATTAATTTCGTCTCCCCGTTTTTTCCATTTTTTCATTTTCATTTGTTTTTGGCGATTTTTCAGTAATCCTGAAATCTGAGAACATTTAGTACGTGAAATGAATTAATTTATTCTGACTGAATTCTCCACTGAGCGTTCATCGCTCGTGGTTTAAATTGACTTTGACATTGAAATAATTTTCACTGGAGTGAGAGTAAATGGTCGGGTTTTTTCTGATAGGTTAATTCGTAAAAAACGCCGAGGACTCGAACCCACGATGATTGGCCTCATTTAAAGTAGAACACGGCTCGACCATCACCTCTCACGGTCCAAGTAGTGGAATATTCTTTTATTATTATAATTATTACTGAAATAAATGAAATAAGATGATTTAACTGGATCGAAGGTCAGCGTTTGATTTATATATATTATAGACGAATTCCTTTGATTAGCGATTCAGATGATTGCAATATGATTTATTTTGTTGGTGTACATTGGCACTGCCTTTATGGAGTAATTGGATTAAAATCGACCTTGATGAAAGACGACGTTTTCTTTAGAATTTATTTTCATGCCAAACGACTCGTTGCTTTGCATTATGCACTTGAAAGAAATCGCTTTCAGCTGCTAAGAAGTATCGTGGAAATGCGATCAAATTCATCGAAATTTAATACTTTTTCACCGAAGAAATAAGGAAGAAAACTCATTTGACTTAAATAAAGACAATCGACGGATGAACGCTTCGATTGGCGTAAATAAATGAATCCATAAATAATTAACTAAATAGGCGATTTTCCAAGGATTAAATATTTATGGAATATCTTTGGCAAACGAATCGCCACTTTTTTAAAATGCATTATCAATTTTTTTCGCATTAAATCTCCGAAACTCGCAATTATTCCCAATTTTTCTTTGTTCTTATATATGCTATTTATTGTCGATAACATTTTAATAAAGTAGTAATAAAAATTATTAGTTGGGATTTCCGACTTTCAGTGAAAATAAATAAATTTATATTCGGCAAAGTCAATTTCGCTATGACCACAAGCGGTATATGTTTGTGCACAGATCGTGCGAAGCTGGAGGTTCGACTGCAGCTCAGAGTTGTCTAGCGAAGGCGACCGTTGAGAGAAAAAGAAAAAGAACTGATGCATTGTTCATTAATAAATAACCGAGACGTCTTGCGATTAAAGTAAACCTTTGGCACAAATAAGCCTATTATTAAAAAATAGGTGCGACTGGTGACGGCGACCTCATTCATACATATAAACTTTCTCGCCAACTGATTGATTATTTCTCTTTTGGAAATTGTTATTTAAATTTTTTATTATTTTCTGAAAAAATTTATTTTTCTTCAATCAGGCTTAGATTTGGTCGAAAAAATTTTTCCTCCGTTATATTACAATGTAAACTTTTTATGCATCATAACTATTCGTTAATTTTTTCATTATTGGATTATATGATATTTGATTGTTTACGCTTGACTCTGCTGGTTTTCGTCGCTAGTGTTGAAGACTGACTAATCAACTTGATTTCTTCCAACGGCTCTCATAGTTCTCGGCTTGGCTGGTAAGATACTTCTGAGTCGCTGGGTCCGATGCCATATCTGATAGTAGTGGAAGCCATTCCTTTTTCACCACTTATTTCAACTGAATTCATTTAATTTGAATGAAATGCTATTTAAGATTTATAAAGCTATAGTTGTCCATGCTCCATCATTCACTATCTATTATTCATTACCTTAGGCTTCTTAGAAGCTTTTTAATTTTAAACGATCGATTTGCGATCGCAATGAGCGGCAAGCATCTTGGCTTTGATAACTGACATATTTCATTAGTAGCCAGTGTTTTCTTGCATGTGAAGTACCGAAATCGAATTATTCAGTGAATGATTATTGTAAATGAATTATAATGTAGTCTGATTCGATTTACTGGCGAACAAAATTTCGAGCTAAAATAAAAAACGTTGTAATAAAATATTTAAATTTTGCAGATTTAAAATATCCAGAATTCTTTCGTCCGAAAATCCGAAAAAACTTGAGAATTCCTACATAAAAATCATATATAAATCATTAAAAAATTATTTATTACCTTTTAAGATCAATTTATTGTAAAATCTATTGAAAATAAAATCTTAACCACAAAGATCGGTGAAAAAGACGGTAAAAATTTCTTTAAAGTTATATCGCACGAGCTTATTAAAAGGATTTGGTAAGGTGATTTATTCTATTCGTCACGATAGCAGTGCTAATAGAACAAGTAGTAAATCCCTTCGACTAAGATTAAAGTAACCTGGTTATATTCCTTTTCTTTAACAAGAGTAATGCTGCAATTAAAGATCGAATCCAGATGAATCTCTGGCGAATCCTTATCGTAATAGTCACCAGCTAAATCAGGAATTGCGAGGGTTGTTAGCTGTTAGAAGAAGCCAAGGTAGCTTCAAGTAGCCAAATACGATGAAAAAATTTCTCATAACCTACACGATTTCGTTATCTTTTAGTACAGATCTTTACTCTATTTTAATGTACTTTTGGTTAAAAGCTAAATTTTATTGGTAATTTCACTATGCCTTTTTTGCAAGAATTTAATCTTTTTGAAATTCCTTAATCTATTTTCAGTAAATATAATTATGTAAAATGCAACACATGGATTACATAAGAAATAAGAAAGTAAAATATGATTAAAAAATAAACGAAGCGATATCCATATAGTCATCGCTTGTTTCAGTATTTTCTGTTATTTAATGATTTCAGAAGACCGCCTTTCTTTACATTTGTAACGATGATATTCATGTAAGGGAGAATGGAGAATTTTCATTTGAAAAAAGAAAAATTTTTTTCTCGAGATTTCGTTGTCATGGACGGCAGTCATGTGGAGGATTCCAAAAGGCTTGCAAAATAACTTACTTTATATTTTTATAGCCAATTGCAGTTTTCCGTTAACATTTTTTAAGCAAATATCTAATATTTTGATATTTGATAATATTTTATACTAGGACAATTGATTGGGCTTATGATATCGCGAATAATGCTATTAAGTTCCTTATTAAAATCAAGCAGATGGAGTAAGGATCATCGCTAGATAACATGTAGTTTACCATGGTTATGGCGGAATTTATGCAGTTATGAATTTTTAAATAAAGCCGAACATAAAAAAGAAATCCCTTTTAACCCACTATTTAACATCATAATTCGGAAATATAAAATATTTTTTGCTGGTTAAAATTTTATGACTATAATCGGTAATGGCGAGTGATTTAGTTATCATCCCTCCAGGGCATATAATTATGTTAATTTACTCTCTAGAAGCTCAATAATAAACAAATGTTGAGCAAAAGATCTATTTGATTTATGAAGAAACTAATTCCATTAGCTCTATTCTCCATTAGAAAAGCTAAGAAATTCATCGTCGTAAATTGAACGAAATCAATTTTTTCCCTTTTAAACGTGGAATGCAAAAGCACATAAGATGCATAATTTT